TTCCCTTTCACTTTCACTTTCCCTTGCCATTCCCATTCTCTTTCCCATTCCCATCACCATTCCCTTTCCTTATCCTTTCCTTTCCATGAAGTGATATCAGTCTTTGCTTTAATTATCGTTGTGTGTAGTCAATACTTGTTGTATGTAGAACTTCAGTGTGACTTAATTACTTGTATAGGTTTTTTGTGGTTCTTGCATTTGGAGGAGGAGCACAGGGCCGTCTTAGAATATTTGTGACCCTAGGCAAGTTACTTTACGGGCCTTCTAATAATATAAACATATATTAAAAAATTTATTTCAAATTTAATTTTCTTGCCTTTTGAGATGCAAATCATTAGGATGGTGAAGAACAGATGCTGGAGAAGCGATGGGTGGTGAAATTGGTGATTCCAATGTCAGGATTGACGGAAAAGACTTGAGAAGTCACGGCCCAAAAGGTATCGATGTCGGCGATTAGCAGAATAAATAAATAGGTATGATAGGGGGTTTTGGGGTTTTGGTGAGAAGGCAGATGGGAGGAATGGTGGTGTTGGGGAAGGCCAACGATGCCAAGTCCATGCTGAAAAGGTCGGAAATGGTTATCGCACGTGGTGGAGCTAGGTTGCAAGATTCTTAAAAATGGCTAAATTGAGGGCTATCAAGGTTGGAAAAACACTTGGAAACAATAAAGTGATGGTTCCGATCTATTTTGGTGAAAAATTCGATCGAAATTAGCTCTGAACGGTCGACGGCGGAGAGGGGTGGAGATGATTTATGTGAATGTTAATTTGTGGTTAAATTTTGGATTGAATTGGGGTGAGTAATTTGAGACAAGTAATGACCATTTATCTTTCCTTGTTAAAAGAAATTTAATGTGTTAATTTAAGGGTGTAAATTAAAATATATGAACACTAGATTACAAACTTGTCATTTCGTCAAACTTTGTGTGGGAATATTATAGTAAAAAGTTAATAATAAATTTGGGCCTTTTTTTTTTTTTTTTTTTTTTTTTTTTTTAGCCCTTTGGCTAGATAAGAAATTATATACTTTTTTTATTTTTAAATTATTAAAAAAATTATAAAAAATTTGGCCCTTTTCGGCCTTATTTTTTGGGGGCCCTAGGCAATTGCCTCACTTGCTAGGGGTGGTAAATAGTTAACCGAACCGTTTATCCAAACCGAAAACCGGACCGGTTTCGGTTAAAAACCGAATGTAAACCAAACCGATTTTCGGTTTGGTTACCGGTTAACCGGTTTTCAAATTACCCTTAAATCCTTAAATTCTTCAATGTTTCATTCAGTCCCTAAATTCAATATTACTATTTTATATATAATTTCATATTTCTCTTGTATTTTGTATTATTGTTGTATCTTTTTATGAAAATACATTTCTATTTTAACATTAAGAAAAAAAAATGAGATACCAAACAAGAAAATTCATTCTATACCATTCACATTTCCTTGTACAAACACTCAAAATTACTCTTTAGATTACATGAACGAGTCAAATTAAAAGATTCATGCATCTCCCCCCATCCACTACCCTCTATAATCTCCTCTCTCTCACTCCTATCAAAATTTATGCTCTGGGTTTAATTACTGAGAAAGTCGCACTTTGCATCTGTTTTGAGAGAGATTGAGAAGATATAGAAGCAAAGAGTGAGCCAACCCCAACACATCCCCAGCTTAACTGACCTCTCTTTGGAATCAAACGCCCTGAAGAAAATCTGGAGAAGATAAAAAACACCGCCATTGTTCTCCTAGTATTCTCGCACTTGCCACTTATATCTATTGGAGAAATACAACAACGTTGGAACAAAGAAAAGAGTGAGTGAGAGAGAGATATTTGATTAGTCATGTTTGGTTTAGTGCACTTGGTTGGTTTATGTCTGCTCAAGCCTCACGGTGGGTCTGCTCACTTCTCACGATGGAGTCTGCTGGTGTGCTGGGTGCTGGCGAACGACGAACGTAGATCAGGGTGATTGACAGTGGAAGGAGTCAGCTCTGCTCATAGCTCACGATGGAACTGACGAACTGTGATGGATGGACTGTGATAGAGTCCGCGGTGGAAGACTGGAACTGCGCCGAACTGGAGTCTGGAACTTTGGAAGTGACGAACAGACGATTGAGGATTGACGAAGTAAATGTGAAGTTTTGAAATTTTCAGATTGAGAATGGAGGCAGAAAGATGAATGTGGATGGAGTAGCGTGACTACGTGAGGACTGTGACTGAGGAGTTAAAAAGAAAAATTTGCTTTTATCTTTAGGGTTAAATCGGTTTAAAAACCGGTTTTCAGTTAACCGTTTTGAATTTGTTTTCAAACCAAAAACCGATCGGTTTTTCCGGTTTTTTGAATTCCCCAAACCAAAAACCGAATCGATTTGTAAAAAAACCAATTTTCGATTCAGTTTCTGGACTTTTTATCCCACCCCTATCACCTGCCTACCCTTGAGGAGCAGAAGAAACATACCAAGTTTGAGGCATGCAAATTTCAATAATGATATCCATTAATTGTAAAGACCATCTATGCGTAATTTACTTTTTCAAACCTGGTGTTAATCTACATTATACTTATGTGTGTGCAATAATCACATGTTATTATTTAATTCGTTGGTTCGAAATATGCTGGGGTAATTTGCATTCTTTCTTTTAAAATTATTTGGTATTAATTCTTGATATTGGGTGACTCTGAGTATTTTTGGAGCGTTTTCTTTACTGTCTAATCTATACAAGGTTAGGTAAATAGCATACTCGAGTGTCTCGAAAAATGTATAAATGAGTAGAATACCATTGACCCGATACCCATTTTACTCAGTTTTTAGTTTCTCGACCTATATGATATCGATTAGGGGTGAACGAAACTCTTTTTTAATCTTTTTCTTTACCGTCAATCTATACTGAGTTTAGATAAATAGCAGCCTTGAGCGTGAAAAACTGTGTATAAAACAGTAAAAACCACATTGATCTGATACCCATTTACTCTCTTTTTTTTCTTTTTTTTCAGCATATAAAAAGTTGAAAATATACTACTTCAATGTGAAATCGTTCAAAGATAGACGATGATGAAAATAACGATTTTTCAGTGTAGGGAATTTATTATGCTTGTTTTCAAGCTTTTAACACACTTTGATTGGCCTCAAGTTTGTGAGAAAGCTAGAAACAAAGGCTACTTCATGTTGAATAATCTCTTTGAAATCAGATGATGGTCGCACATAAGGTTTTCCGGTGTAAGCGGCTTTTGACACGCTCGTTTTCAAGCTTGCAGCACTCCCATTGTGTGAAAAGTTTGTGAGCGAGACTCAAGGTGGAATACTCTCAAGTATAGGGAATTTTCTAGATGCCCATTTCAAGGCTGTAGCACTCGGATTGTCCTTAAATATTGGGAGTGAGGTAGAACAGAATGACGAGAGCTCTTAATTCCATGTGTTGGAATATAAGGTGTTTTCGATATAGATTTAGTAAAGTTTTATAAGAAGACTTTAGTATTGATAAACGAATTAAATATGGTAGCTTCCTATTAGTATGGTGGCCGAACGACTGTGCATACCCGATTTACCGTAACGACAAGTTGGTACCCAAAGGTTTGAAACGACAAATAGGTACCTTCCGTCATATTCTGTTACTGATTTCTGTTTATTAATAGTGAAAAGACTAAAATGCCCTTCAAAGTTTCAATTTTAGTTTTTTATATTTAAAATTTCTAAAACCCCCTAATTTTCTAATTTAATTAAACACCCCATATATAAAAAAGTTTGTTAAATAACAAAAACACCCCCAGTGCCAATTCCGGCCACCATCGCGGAATCTGGCCGGAAAACTACATTACGACAGACCCTCGGTCTGTGTCGTAACGTGCCGATCTGACCTTTTCCGCCAGATCCTGCTGATCTGGCCGGAAAGGGCCAGATCTACTGCCAGATCTGGCCTCGACGCCGCAGATGGAGTTTTGCGGCGTCGACGCCAGATCTAGCTATAGATCTGGCCTTTTCGGCCAGATCAGCCACGGTCTGGCCGGAAAGCCAGATCGTGCGTCACGACACAGATCCGACGGGTCGTGTCGTAACGCAACTTTCCGCCAGATTCCGCGGTGGTGGCCGGAACTGGCACTGCATGGCGGGGTGTTTTTGTTATTTTACAAAATTTTTATACATTGGGGTATTTAGTTATTGTAAACTTAGGGGGTTTTTTGAAATTTATAAAAAACTAAATTCAAACCTTTAAGGGCATTTTAGTCTTTTTACTATTAATAAACAGTAATAAACAGAAACCATTAACAGAACATGATGGAAGGTACCTATGTCGTTTCAAAACCTTTGGACCAACTTGTCGTTACGACAAACCTTGGTACTGTAATGTGTTCTCCCTTAGTATGGTAGGTAATCTGGAAACTCTATTTTTTAATGCCACGTATGATGCAGTTGTTGGGAAATAATAGATATATGAGTGATGATAAGAGATCTTATCTGATACATAATATACACACTACTAGAATACAAAGGCAGAGGAGAAAATCAGGGTGTGACAACGATCCTATCCAATGTAGCTGTGGCAGAGGCAGAGTGAGGGTCCAATAAAATATCCGAGATGTAAGGGAAGATATTCGTTTATTTGAAGAGAATGAATCCTTGATGATACTGTTAGTAATATGCTTTGCTCTACTAAACAAGAAAACAGATATGTAAACATCAAAGAAAGTAAAAACATAACATTACGTGAGGTCAGGTGGGGCTACCATACCAATCAATCAAATTATAACCATTTGCATTCCTCATCATCATCCACTACTCCAAAAACCAACATGGGACTGACCTTATCCGTCCCCTTTTCTTTCTTAATACTGTAATGTTTTGATTTTTTTTTTTTTTTTTTTTTTTTTTAAAATGAAATGGGTAGTTGGGTCTTCCTTTAACCGCGTTTAGTTACAAGTTATTTCAGAGTTCAGACACCAGCACAGTAGAGTAATTAATAATGAGAAAGAAAAAAACAACCCCATAAATACAAAGATAGGGATAATATTAAAATGGCTTAAAAGTATTAAAATATGAGCAAGTAGTAGTGGTAGTGGATTCCAAATTACAAACCTATTATCATCTAATCTACTCTGGCTCAATCTTCTGCACTATAATACAACGGTGGAGAAGGAGGAGCCATTTTTTTTTCTTTTTCTTTTTATATGTAATCGGTTTATTCTGTGGGAGTATTGGTTATGAATTTTATTATGGAATTTGGGAATTCTTGCTTCTCCTTTAATTACTTTAATTATTCTTCTTGTTATAACTTTCATTTTTGTTCAAGATCAAGGTCATCATCATCGTCGTCGTCGTATTCCTTGTGTCGTGGAAGTAACTACTCAAAGCCCAATACTATTCTGGAAAATTTCATGTTCAAACCATCCTCTTGTTGCAATATCATTACTGCTGCGTCTTCTTTTACTTTCTTTATTAGAGAAGACGCCTGATTATTCATCAATCTCATTTTTCTTTTCTTTTCTTTTCTTATGTGTACATTATTTCCCTTCGCCATGATTAACATTAGTACTAGTTTCCCGGCAGCCACGTCTGCAACTATGGCAATCTACGGCGGTTTCTATGATCATCAGTCCATCTCCATGAGGTACAATTTCTTTATTAACTAATTAATTTGTGTAATTGTTATTGGGAGTAGGAATTTGATATGTTTAGTTTATGTAAAATGTAATTTAGTATATGATTAGAGATGGAAGAAGGATTTGTAGTAGGCAACCCCCAATATCCGTTTATTCTTTACGATCATCAGGTATGATCATGATCAACGTCCTTGTTGTTGGAATAACAAGACCAACAAATCAAAATCAACGGTGATGATGATGACAAGGTCGAGGAGTAGGAGACATTTCCCTTCGATTTCAACTACTTCAGCTTCACCAGCTTCTGCTTACCCTCTCTTTAGCAATCAGCTAACCAAAGACTCGTCCCGTCACCCTATTTACCAGGAGGTTGATTTGATTTGTAACCAAAATGATATTGTGGATATGCAACTTTTGTCTACAGTTACTACTTTTAATTTCACTGTTGTTTCTTCATACTTCTCATTTATTGTGCTGCTACTACAAATATCAGGCTCTTAAGACTGCAAGACAAAAGTTCACTCAAGAGATCTCCTTCCAGTCCAAGGACAAAGACATCTCTCTCGCTAAGGTATATATTTCTCAAACTAATGCATATATTTCTATTGTTTCAAGATTCTATTTCATTTATTATATCATATTGCAGGCTTTGCTCTATGTTGCTGCTGAAGATGAGGCCTTTATAGCTTACAATCGAGAAATGGATGCTCGTTCAATGATGAATGAGAGGAGAAATGCGTCGGTCTCAGCTGATTCCGAGGACTGGAAACATGTGGACCAAATGCCTTTGGCTGGAAAGAATATATCTGAGTGGCTAAGTGTGTTGGACACTATTGCCAAGGAAGTTGAAGCAGAACTAGTTTACAGAGACATTGGTTGCCATTTGGTTGCAGTTTTGGAAGCAGTGAATGTAGTTCTTTTTGAGTGTAGAGGCTTCAAAAGGTCACCTGTTCTTGTAGATTCTAAGTACTCATACCTACACTCTGTACTAAGCTCTGGGTGTGGCAGTGGTATAGTGCTATCCTGCTTCTTTTTTAAATCAGTAGCTACTTGCTTTAATGCATTTTTGCCATCTTCCCTTTGATTCTCCATATACTCTAGATTAGCTGACAATGTAATTTCCTTGCTTACAGCAATTTTGCTTAGCATAATTTACATTGAAGTTTGTCGACGACTTGGTCTGACTATTGTGGGATCTCGAGTTGGGGAAGATTTTTTGATATGGCCCCAAACGGGGTACCCAGAGGTGCTTTAATCTTGCAAGATTTGGTATAACTTAATTTGATTGTGCATACTTGCCAGTGCCTACTTTTATATTGCAATGTTGATGTCTTTTCTTGTCAGTGTTATATACCCAGTTGGAAAAGCCAACAGTTTCAAGTGGAGCCTGAAGTTTTATGTATTTTTCTATTGGCTGTAAGGTAGCTTGAATTTGAACTCATTGAATTTAACCTTTTCTCTCTCCAGGAGCTGTTCAAAGTAACTTCAGGACACAGCTTGTTTGCAATTGTCAACGGAAGGTGTGTGGAGGACCCTAGATCAATGGCATCTGATTTAACTGGTAATTCACTTTTAGGGCTTGAAATAGCTACGAAGCGAGACATTATTGGAATTGCTCTTGCCAACATGATTGTAAGTTTTAATCTTGCCAATTTATAATATATAATTCTTTTAATTGATCACAGGATTTGGTTACTCTTATCGGTAGACAGTATTTGTTCCTCGTAGTATTATTCCTGAATTTTACACATATAATCTGAAGTAAAATTAATGAACTGCAGAGGCTTCATTGGAAACGTGCTTCAAGATCAAGCCATGGGTTGATGCTGACTTCTCCACTTAGGCATGTTCACGATGCTAATGACAAACTTAACAAGATCAATAACTCAAATTTTCCTTTGTTGCGGCCTCGGGATCTTAGGTAAAGCTCTGAAACATTTTTATGGTATTAGTTACCATTTTTAGGTTGTTCCACATTTTCACTGGCTCAAATTTGTAAATTCCATGCTTTAATTGATATTACAGTTGAATATTGACCTATGATATCGTTTCAATAAGTCCAGTATTGGAGAAGAGGGTCATTGTGCAGTTCTGTTTTGCTAAAGTGCCTTGTTTAAAGTTGTGACATTCAGCTTATGAATGCTGAGGTTTTAAATTTTGAGTGTGCCAATTCTTTATATGTTCTTACGTTACAAATTACTGTTCCAACCTTTAAAACAAATTACTGTTCCAACCTTCTTTTTAAAAGAACTAATAATCACATATAAAGCTGAAGACTGAAGTTTTTGCTTATTTTGAATAACACTGGAATACATGGATGTTAAATTCTGGTTATGCTGTCACATGACAGAGTCTTTGCAGCTACTAAAATGCTGCAGCTTGATGTCATTAATAAATCTGTTTGCATATTGTTCAAGCCTCTCTTCAAAGTACTACACTCTGAGTTGTGCTCTTGGGTACAAAGTTATTGCTTGATAATGATTTGCAAACCATCTTTCAAAGTTTTGTGATTCTGTTAATGATTTGCATACTCCTTGCTACTTGCCCTTACTGAGAGACATGTAGCATATACTGTTTAAATAATTTTATTTTTGAGAACCTTTAAAATTGAAAGCAGGTTGTCCTTGGTGAGTAGTCAGAGATTTGATATAGATCAGTGGCGGAACTGCAGAGATAACAAAGGGGCCATTTGCTCCCCTCTAACTTTATATTATTTTGAAAATTTTCTTATATTTTAGCACTATATTGGGTATGAACCCCCCTTCTTCCCCTTCTTGTATTTATTTATTTTGTTAGTTTTTTAACTTATTTTTCAAGTGTCTCATGTTTTCTTACGTATAACCTATTTCCATCACTAGGATAATCAGTAAATTTATCTAATTTTTTGAAATATAAAATTTCTTCCACCAAAAATGTATTCAACGGGACAGTTGATGTTTAATGTTCTCATCATGCCACACTTGTGTGCTTATTGTTAAATGTTATGTCTGTTGTAAAGTTTGCTGTGTAACATGCCTTTGTGAGGTTTTTTCTGTTTTCTCGTTACAAAGAACGTAATATGCCTTTGTTAGCTTCAAATTTTATATTTTTTGCCTACTTTGCTGTGCACTATGCCTTGGATAGGTTTTTCTGTTTTCTCATCATAAAGAACGCAATATGTTTTTGTTAGTTTTTTTCTGTTTTCTCATCATAAAAAAGTAAATCAATAAGTTGTATCAAGGCTATTTAACTTATCCAAGATTGTATACTAATTTTCAGAAAAGTTGCCTTTTTAAAATGAATTTGTTAGCATCTGTTTTGAAGATAGACCCTTTGGATAAGGTATATCTTGCTCTTCTAATCTTTGGTGGCAGAATGTGGAGTATGGATTNTTTAATGTTCTCATCATGCCAGACTTGTGTGCTTATTGTTAAATGTTATGTCTGTTGTAAAGTTTGCTGTGTAACATGCCTTTGTGAGGTTTTTTCTGTTTTCTCGTTACAAAGAACGTAATATGCCTTTGTTAGCTTCAAATTTTATATTTTTTGCCTACTTTGCTGTGCACTATGCCTTGGATAGGTTTTTCTGTTTTCTCATCATAAAGAACGCAATATGTTTTTGTTAGTTTTTTTCTGTTTTCTCATCATAAAAAAGTAAATCAATAAGTTGTATCAAGGCTATTTAACTTATCCAAGATTGTATACTAATTTTCAGAAAAGTTGCCTTTTTAAAATGAATTTGTTAGCATCTGTTTTGAAGATAGACCCTTTGGATAAGGTATATCTTGCTCTTCTAATCTTTGGTGGCACAATGTGGAGTATGGATTCTGTTTTGAAGTCTTGTTAAGATGAAATGGTGAATTCTACTGAGATTTGTTAGTATATGATCTAAAAGACCTCTTTTATGTATATAATGTTTAAAGAAATATTCTTTTGCAGGCTTGCTATCATGGCTTCAGAAAGATTGTTGATTCTGCAGCCACATAATTGGGCTTTGAGGAGAGACCATGGCATGATGCTGTATTATGATAGGTTTGAATTTTGGAATTTTTACTTTTTTGCATGGTCGGAATTGATTCGGTTGATTGAAAAATAAAATATGATGGTGAATGGCAGGGAGTATGGAGAGGCGGTGCAAGAGCTTAGCATTTGCATGGCCTTTGCCCCAGAAGAAGAATCAGAAGTTCTAGAACCATTTGTTGAGAAATTGCATTTATTGCGTCTTGAATCATCATGGAAGTCTTTGGGACATGCAGATGCAGGCCAGTTGACAGTTCCATGACTTCATTTGTAGATAATCTATTTTCTCTCTATCTGTGTAGAATGGATAAACTCATGTTGTTGTGACTTCTAACCGACTTCATATATGCTCTACCTCAACCACTTTGAGTTGCTGTTTTTTTTTAAGCAGAAGCTCAGAATTATAATGATAAAGACATTTCCAGCTTTTAGTTAGGACAAGATCCACTTCCAATTAGGCTGATCCTTTAATGTTCACATACATGCTAACCAATTTAACCACATATAAACACCTCTCTTTTCTTAAAAAGATATTTCCGACGATCTTTTTTATGCATTTCTGCATATGGCTATTTTTTGTAAATAATTATTATTTAAAACGGTTGTTTTTGAGAAAACAAAAAAAACAAAATTCATGTTTTATTTGTAAAAGTAATTAAGGTGTAATAAATGGTTATTTTTATAAACATGAAGGGTTTAAAAAATAATCATTTTTGCCCCAAAAAAAATTGGGTTTTGATAATTGCTATTTGTGTAAAACAATTTAGGGTTTCGATAATTGCTATTTTTGTAAAGAACTTCAGGGTTTCGATAATCTGTTATTTTTGTAAAAAATGTTTAGGATTCTGATAATGGCTATTTTTGCAAGAAAATTTAGCTCTCCCTTTGGTTCACTATTTTTACCCTATTATTCAGTCCTATCCAAATACATATTTGTTTCAATATTCAAAATTCTCTTCAAAATACAATACTATTTTATTCAACTCAATATATTTATATTATTTTTAATCCCCTAGGTTTGTGAATTTAACTAAACACTCCAAACAATAAAAGTTTATAAATTAACAAAAACATCATCACCCAGACACCCACCCACATTTGTCAAATTCTAGCCACCACTGTTGGAAAGTAGCCGGAATCTACCGTAATGGTGCACTATCGGCTAGATATGGTCGGTAGTACGTCGATATGACCTTTTTCGGCCAGATCTACAGTCGCTAGATCTGGCCAAATCTTTTGGCCATTGACGACAACCATATCTGGCTAGATTTGGCCATCAATAGCCAAATCTAGCAACCATAGATCTAGCCCTTTCTAACCAGGTTCATGGTAATTCTGACCGAAAAAGGCTAGATCTACGCACTACCAGCCATATCTAACCGATAGTGGTTGGTAGTGCGCCATTATGTTAAATTTGGCAAATGTGGGTGGGTGTAAGTGTTTTTATCAATTTATAAACTTTTATTATTGTGTATATTTAGTTAAATTAACAAACTTAGGGATTAAAAATAATCTAAATATTTTCAGAAAATTCTATTAAAAAATGTACAAAAAGCCTCTCAGAATACTACTCAACTCAACTTTTTCCAAAAAATTATTCTAAAAACTCTTAAAATAGTGAACCAAACAGAGCCCTAAGATTGTGATAAATGGTTAATTTTGAAGAAAAGTTTTCTGATAATGGTTATTTTTTAACGCTGTGGGAGGCTAGATTCGACCTCCTTGGCCTCCCCCAACTCCGAGCGGCCGTATATGGCATAGTGGTTGATAGGAGAGGGGAAGGAGAAGAAAGAAAGGAATAAAAAGAAGAAGGGGAAAAGGAATTGAAGAAAAAAAAAAAAAAGGGAAGGAAAATGAAATAAAAAGGGGGTAAAGAGAAAGAAAAAACCATTTTAGTTGGTTGGTTGGAATAAATTAATGAGTATTTTATATTAATATGTTTGGTGGGGAGAAATAAATTGGTTGATATTTATATAAATTACTATATTGCCTCTTTTTTTAAATATTAATATAATATTATTTTTATTATTATTCTTGAATAATTTTTTAACCCCCTCTATTTCAGATTTAGCTAAAACACACTAGCAACTAAAAGATTTTAAAACTTAACAACAACACCCCCACCGAACCCAAGCCACTGTCTGTGGCTTACCACCACCGTCGGCAACGACGACAATTGAGATCTGGCCGTGAAAATGCTAGATATTTGGCCATGAAACGACAATCGTTTCATGGCCACAGATCTGGCTGTTTTCAAATGGCTAGAAATGGCCTTACTAACGCACAACCGGTTAAATCCAGCCGATCGTGCGCTATTCTGTCACTGTCAATGATGGTGACCAAATCCAGCCATCACCTTTGGGTAATTTTTTTAAAGTTTAAGAGTATTTATGTCTTAAAAAATTTGTATATAAGGATAAAATAGTCTATGAATATATTTGTAAATTAATTTCAAAATAAGGGTATTTTTATCCAAAATTTTTATTAATAAAGGATAAAATTGTAACAAAATTAAGATTACCAAATAATCTTAAAATACTTAAGAAAATAAAAATAATCAGATTATCTCATATATTATCAATAATATATACTATTAGTTTTAAAAGATTATCAAAATTGAAATCTTATACATATTACTTAACTAATCAAATAATATGAGAGCACGTTACCTTAATCTTAATTACCCCAACCAACCACACCGTTATAATATATTTAGTTGGTATTTGACGTGTTTCTTGCAGAGAGCAGAGAGCATGGTAGTGAAGTAGAAGGGAATGGGGTGCGCTTGCTGGCCCTTGTTCCTTTCTGGAACTTGGGTTTTCACCCCAATATCATCACTCACTAACAGAACCTCACCCATCATACCTCTTGTGCTTTGTTCACATTCTAAACATCATATTACTAATTCCTTAAAGTTTGAAAAGTATCATTTTCATCCCCGGTTAGCCATTGACGACATCGATTACGGGGGTTGGAGCAACAACAACAACAACAACAACAACAACAACAATAACAATAATAATAGTAATTCTTGGTGGTGGTGGTGGCACGACGGAGATGATTCTTCTGAATCTTTTTATCAATTTCCCCCCTTCATATTATCCCTTCTATATTGTTTCTATCACTTCCAATTGGCCGCGGCACTCGCAACAACTCAAGACAAAGACAACGACGCTGTTTGGGAAGTCAAGGGAAGCAAGTGGACAAGACTCATCCCTGATTTTTCAAAAGATGCATTTGTTGTTACAAATGCAACTGCAGGTGAAGTATCATTATCATCTATGTTATCTGTTGGAAATTTATGGTATCAGTGCAGAGACCTCTTTATGCGGCTGATGCTCCCCGAAGGTTTTCCTGATAGCGTTACCAGCGATTACTTGGACTACTCTCTTTGGCGAGGCGTACAAGGCGTTGCCAGCCAAATTAGTGGTGTTCTCGCCACTCAGGTCTTCTACCTAAACTAGCAATCTATTTGAAACATTCCTAGTACGGTTTGTTAAGCTGTGCATGTAGCCACGATAGATTATTGTTTCTTTATGTGGTATGTGATTTAATTTCCAATGTTGTTAATCTCCTAACAAATTGCGTGTTTTGTAGGCGTTGCTTTATGCTGTTGGATTGGGGAAAGGGGCTATTCCAACGGCAGCTGCCATCAATTGGGTGCTCAAAGATGGAATTGGGTATCTTAGCAAAATTATGTTATCAAAATTTGGAAGGCATTTCGATGTTCATCCCAAAGGGTGGAGATTGTTTGCTGATCTTTTGGAAAATGCAGCTTTTGGGTTAGAGATGCTAACTCCTGCTTTTCCACATTATTTTGTTGTCATTGGTGCAGCTGCTGGAGCCGGACGCTCTGCAGCTGCACTCATTCAGGTAAACCTCTTTACTTGTACTTACAGGATTATGATCTATTTGTTCTGTTTCAAAAGTTCCAATCTTAATATACAATTGGCAAATTTCCATACATCACATGAAAAATGAAGAGGAAGAAGAAGAAGAAGAAGAGGTTAAATTTGGAAAATAAAAAGTGTAATGAGGTTGTTGATCATGTTTTAATTAATTGGTGGATTAGGTGCTTATACTTGGTTGGAGATTGTGATTTACCATTCTAGATGATACCACTTCATCTCCTGTGCTTTGATATTTTAAGATGAGGAAATTGGATTATTTTTCCTAAAACAAATTTAGACAAGCTTCATCTGGTGTTCAATCGTTCTCAGATATTTTCATGTCTAAAGTTGGTGTTGTGTTCATTTTTGTCTGCTTTTCCAAACAATTTCAGCAACTGAGAATGTAATGATGCCCTGTTGTTTTCCTTTCTCACATTGACCCAATATAGAATATACATTTACTGAAAGTTGGCATCCATCAATTCACAGGCTGCAACAAGGAGTTGTTTCTATGCTGGTTTTGCAGCGCAAAGGAATTTTGCTGAGGTGAAATGCATTTCCCTTGCTATTTATTTGTTCAATTTTTTATTCTTAAGGAAGCATGGAAGCCTCTTCTGTTAGTGGGAATGTAATTTTTTGTAACATGCCATAGTAATGTCTTTTTGTAATACTCGAATCTGTTAAAATACCCTGGTCTGCCAGTATATATTTTTCTGAAAGGAATTATTAATTATAGGTAATCGCTAAGGGTGAAGCTCAAGGAATGGTGAGCAAATCTATTGGTCTTATGCTAGGTATAGCACTGGCTAACCACATAGGCTCCTCTACACCTTTTGCTCTTGCTTCCTTCGGTGTTGTCACATGGATTCACATGTTCTGTAATCTGAAGTCGTATCAGTCTATTGAACTCAGGACTTTAAATCCCTATCGCGCAAGTAATATATCTCCTCTTTCATTTCTTTTACTTTCCTTTATTCTCCCTCTTTCATCGGAAGTGTTGTGGCGATGATATTTTTACTTTTACACTTGAATTTTATAATGAATTAGTTTGTACAATGCCTGAATTAGTCAAAAAGACCTAGGCACCTAGCATAGTTTTTGTAGATGCTTAAATGGTTTGCTGTACACAACACTAGTAGACTTATCTATGTGATACGTAATTGTATGAAGAAACATTATAGCAAGGAGCTCTACTTTGACTGGAATGTATTGGCAAGAAAGTTTAGTGGCTCTTGGTTCCTTGACCTATGCACAAACCTTCCCAAAGACTAGGCTAGTGCCTTTAAACTTCCTAGCTTAGTTCCATCCCTATAGAATGTATTTAAACACTTTAGTTATGAGAAAAAAAATAGGTATTATGATTTTGCTTTTACTGGAGAAAGATATCTTGTATGCACTATTCAATAATTATCAGTATGATTAGAAGTTATTTGAAGAAAGATGTGATTTGCATTCCTCAGTTTGAATATAAGCCCATTGATTTGCATGCTAGTGTATTATTTCCTTTTACTTAATAATAATAATAAATAAATAAAACCTTTTTATTTCATTTACCATTGAATTATCTTTGATAATTATGGTTTATTTCTCAATTCTGCTCCTAATTTGTTTCAGATTTGTATTGGTTTTAGGGTGGGTTTGATTTAGTTTAACAAATGGGTTAGATTCACTAGTACTTTTAAAAGTACTTCTGAATGTATTTTTGTTTACATGCCTTTCTTTCTTGTACTTTTCCCTTGGAAACCAGTAGAAAAATAAAATTGAAAGATGTAAAACTTACAAAAAGAAAGATGTAAGATATATTTATATATATATATATATATATATATATAACTTCTCAATAATAATACTCTATATAGGAATAACCTCCATATAGTCATAAAAAATTATGGTCCCAACTTGGGCCAGTTATAAATAAGAATAAATTTCAAATTGTAATAAGTTATAATTTTTTTAGGTCCCGTCTTAAGGAACTTGCTTCTACATAGTAATAATTATATGTATATTGCAAAAAATATATGCTATGTTACATTAAAGCTTTAAGATGAAATAAAATATTTATCTATAGTTGTTTGGGACAATGATTTATACTTTAGAGTTGTTACCACATCTTTTAGTAATACTCTATATAGGAATAACCTAAACCCTAAACCCTAAACCCTAAACCCTAAAAATAGTAATAATCTATATAGGAATAACCTCCATATAGTCATAAAAAATTATGGTCCCAACTTGGGCCAGTTATAAATAAGAATAAATTTCAAATTGTAATAAGTTATAATTTTTTTAGGTCCCGTCTTAAGGAACTTGCTTCTACATAGTAATAATTATATGTATATTGCAAAAAATATATGCTATGTTACATTAAAGCTTTAAGATGAAATAAAATATTTATCTATAGTTGTTTGGGACAATGATTTATACTTTAGAGTTGTTACCACATCTTTTATCTTTCGGGTACGTAATAAACCGCCAGCATGGACACCTTCTTGTTGAAACCAAAATATTTCTAGCTCTCAAGCATGTTTAAAGCTTCTTAGCATGAAATTTTTGGTATTTCCGTACTATCATCCTCTAGATTATCTTTTTCCCCTTCTTGTCTAATTCCAGTAATGATTTCTTTTTCATTTAAAACATACACGACTTGTTGCTCATTTGGATTATTGAGGAAGACATTAATATACATTTGATTAGTGTAGTGAAGTTGTCGAATCTGATCACTTAATTTTACAGTGACTTGACTCTTTGATTACCATTTCCGTACTATCCTAATGCTACTAAAACAATGAATTGAAATCCTAATACTACTAAAACATGAATTATAAAATAAGAAATCAAAACTATAATTCTTATAATTATACCTCTATTAAATTATAACTTCCTTATAGTAATAAATTTAATTAGCCCCAACATTATAACTATAGAGATGCTCTACTGTGTGTGTATATATATATATAAATGTAAAATACTTAGATAGTGGATCAAATATCCACTACTACAAAATAACCCATCTGCTAAAGGCTTAAAAACTTGGATAGTATATACACGTATATGAAACTCAGTCTTTATAAAAGAGAAAAATAGAAAATGTGGGAAAAAAAATTCGGTAAAGTCAGCTACATGGTGTTGTAATATCAACAAAGACCATTGATATGGCTGTGTAAAATCTGAACAGTGTATATAAATTGCCACTGCTGTTCCGAATTTGTTTAAATTTACGCTATCTTAACAAGAGTCAAGTAGAGAGCCTCTTCATTTGGCAATGGGCTATTTCAAGTTAATCTTCTTGTTGGAATCTGTTTTCTACCCTTGATAATTATCTAAGAATACAAATTCCTAATAAAAGAAGTCAAATTGCCCGGTTTGGTGGTTGTCACCTCTCCATTTGCAAACTTTACAAATTTGTTTAAAGCATGTAGCTTCGAAATTTGGCCAATTAATGTGTTCTAGAATTTTATGATTGACCCAAACTGCCCTATTTCGGTGTTTTCTTCATTCTCTTTAACTATAAATTCTGTGGTGGACACTGTACACCTTTACACCAGTGTGATATCATTTCGACTGGATTATCTGGCATTGTTCAGAATTGCTCATATAACAAAGAAACATAAATTATTATCAATGTTGTTGCGATCATCATCATTACTGTTGTGGAGTTTTTTGGTTCATTTTATATACTGTTTCAACAGGTTTGGTGTTCAGTGAATATCTCCTTAGCGGCCAAGCTCCTCCAGTCAAAGAGGTCAATGATGAAGAACCACTTTTTCCAGCTTTACACTTCCTAAATATAAAGCCTGCAAAGAAAGTAAGTTGCTTTTATCTTGTCTTCCCTCTGTTGTTAATATTTCTATCCTGAAGAAAAGGGGATTATACAAAGCAAGAAATTTTAACAACCCATATGATTGGGAAGCCCATGTGTGTCTATGCCATGGAAATGCAACACTTTTGACATGCTTGAAACACCTGATATTGCATTCCAGATGACCTTACTTGTGAGGTCAAGGTCTCAGATGTCTTTTCTTAAAGTTATTCAGTTTGCTGTCAGTGCTGCTCAGCTAATCTTTCTGTGCGATAGCAACACATCTCTTTGAGGTCCTCCCCTATAGCTCTATACTATGCAGAATATTCACAAACATCAATTACTACTGCCCAGTGCCCATTTATGAATTCAAGTTCTTGATTATTGTTTGTGACCTGGTGAGGTGCGAGCCTGGTGGATTTGTCACAGAGCCTTATAAGGATTTTAGCCGTAGTTAGAACAAGATAGTGGTGTTGTTGGTCCCTTTGACATAACATTCTCAGCCGCCTCTGGTCCGGTTGGAAAGAAACCTGTAGCCAGTGACACGTGATTCAATGATCAAACCATTCATCTTAAAATTTATCTTAAGCCTGACCTGGAAGTTTGGATATCTATTTAAATCTATTTAACTGTGATCCAATACACTCAAATAGTGCACTATTAACGTTAGCATTTTTTTTCTTTTTTGGGGGGGCAGAAAATTATGAGATTTACTTGTGAAACAGATTATAAGGATAATAGGAAGATGTGGATATAGGTGTGTGTTTTTAATTCTTTAATACGATTCTTATTAATGAGGTTCCATTTTCAGTTACAATCAGTGGTTCTATCTTTGGAAGCAAAGGATGCAGCTGCTGAAATTGAGTGTCGGCTGCAGCTGGGATCGAATCTCAGTGATGTAGTTAGCAACAGGGAGGATGCCCTTGCATTGTTCAATTTATATAAAGATGAAGGCTATATTTTGACTGAGTATGGGGGAAAATTCTGTGTAAGTAAACTACCTTCTTGGCTTCTTGTCATTGCTTTAAGTTTTTATGTTTTTTATTTTTATTTTTTTGGTTTCATGCGGGTACCTTTTTCTTTATGCACCTATAAATTAGATGAGTGGCCTATGGATCCTTCATCAAAGTCCACATTGGATTTTTTGACTTATGATCAGTCCTTGCTATTAGAAGTTAGAAAATCTGAATACTCATTGCAGGAAAGGTCTGCGGTATCGTGCAAAATGATTGGTGTACTTGCATAATGGTCTGCATTTGATAATTAAATGAGTAAATTACCTTATGAATAATTGTCTGGTCTGTAATGAACAATTTTCAGCCATTTTGAGTGCTCATGTGATGGCTAAGACACATGAGGAGGCTTATGAGCATGGTTAGTGTTTCATTTTCTATATTCCATATATTTCAATAGTACAACCTAACTAAAATATATACACACACTTAACAATTACATATATACCCTTTACACTACATATACATAGTTTCCAACACTCCCCCTCAAGTTGGAGCATATATATCTATCATGCCCAGCTTGTTACAAATATAGGTTATCCTTTTACTAACTAGAGACTTCGTGAAGATGTCAGTTAATTGTTCCCCTATTCTAACATGATTAGTAGCAATTAGCTTTTGTTCAAGTTTCTCTCAAACAAAGTGACAATCCACTTCTATATGCTTAGTCCTCTCGTAAAAGACTGAATTGTTTGCTATACGTATGGCTGCTTGGTTGTCACACCACAAGTCCATAGTCCCTGGGTCACCAAACCCAATTTATCTAAGAAGATGTCTTGTCTATATAAGCTCACACGTAACTTGTGCTATAGCTCGATACTCAGACTCTGCGCTTGACTTAGCTACAACCGGTTGCTTCTTACTTTTCCAAGAAATAAGATTTCCTCCAACAAAAATACAAAACCCAGTCACATACCGTCTATCCACAAAGGATCATGCCCAATCTGCATCTGAAAAACCTTCTACCTTATTATAACCATGATCACTGTAAAGAATCCCACGTGTAGGGGCTCATTTTAGATACTTCAAAATATGGAGGACCACTTCCCAATGAGATGTCCTAGGAGATGACATAAATTGACTCACTACACTCACTGAAAAAGCAATATCTGGACGGGTTACTGTAAGGTAGTTTAACTTTCCAACTATCTGTTTGTATCTCTCTGGATCACCAAACATCTCTCCATCCTCAGCATTCAATCTCACATTAGGAACCATAGGAGTGTCCGGCTTAGCCTCACTTAGACCCATTTCGGTCAACACATCTAACACATACTTGCATTGAGAGAGAAAAATCATTTTCTTACTTCGAGAAACCTCGACTTCTAGAAAATACCTTAAAGTGTCTAAGTCTTTTGTGTGAAATTTGGAAGCCAAAAAGTTTTTCAAACTCTGAATGCCAACATCATCACTGCCAGTGATTACAAGTCATCAACATAAACAACCAAAAGAATGATGCCAGAACTGGATTGCTTATAAAAGACAGAATGATCATAAGCACTCCTATGCAAACCAAACTGAATCACCACTTCGCTAAACCTCCCAAACCACACACGTGGAGATTGCTTTAAGCCATATAAAGATTTCCTCGGTTTGCATACCTTTCCTGACTCCTTCTGAGCAACAAACCCCGGAGGTTGCTCCATGTAAACCTCTTTAAGAAGATCACCATGTAAAAAGGCATTTTTTACATTAAGTTGGTGAAGAGGCCAACAATATGAAGCTGCAAGAGAGATGAATAGTCGAATAGAGGTCATTTTAGCCACTGGGGAGAATGTCTCAGAATAATCAATACCATACGTCTGGGCATAACCCTTAGCAACCAACCGAGCTTTCAATCGAGCCACAGTCCCATTGGGATTAGCCTTCACTGTGAAAACCCATTTGCACCCAATAGCCTTTTTATTTTCAGGCAACTCCATTAGAACCCATGTATCATTATGTTCTAGAGCCAACATCTTTTCTTTCCTGTAAAATACTTAGATAGTGGATCAAATATCCACTACTACAAAATAACCCATCTGCTAAAGGCTTAAAAACTTGGATAGTATATATACGTATATGAAACTCAGTCTTTATAAAAGAGAAAAATAGAAAATGTGGGAAAAAAAAATTTGGTAAAGTCAGCTACATTGTGTTGTAATATCAACAAAGACCATTGATATGGCTGTGTAAAATCTGAACAGTGTATATAAATTGCCACTACTGTTCCGAATTTGTTTAAATTTACGCTATCTTAACAAGAGTCAAGTAGAGAGCCTCTTCATTTGGCAATGGGCTATTTCAAGTTAATCTTCTTGTTGGAATCTGTTTTCTACCCTTGATAATTATCTAAGAATACAAATTCCTAATAAAAGAAGTCAAATTGCCTGGTTTGGTGGTTGTCACCTCTCCATTTGCAAACTTTACAAATTTGTTTAAAGCATGTAGCTTCGAAATTTGGCCAATTAATGTGTTCTAGAATTTTATGATTGACCCAAACTGCCCTATTTCGGTGTTTTCTTCATTCTCTTTAACTATAAATTCTGTGGTGGACACTGTACACCTTTACACCAGTGTGATATCATTTCGACTGGATTATCTGGCATTGTTCAGAATTGCTCATATAACAAAGAAACATAAATTATTATCAATGTTGTTGCGATCATCATCATTACTGTTGTGGAGTTTTTTGGTTCATTTTATATACTGTTTCAACAGGTTTGGTGTTCAGTGAATATCTCCTTAGCGGCCAAGCTCCTCCAGTCAAAGAGGTCAATGATGAAGAACCACTTTTTCCAGCTTTACACTTCCTAAATATAAAGCCTGCAAAGAAAGTAAGTTGCTTTTATCTTGTCTTCCCTCTGTTGTTAATATTTCTATCCTGAAGAAAAGGGGATTATACAAAGCAAGAAATTTTAACAACCCATATGATTGGGAAGCCCATGTGTGTCTATGCCATGGAAATGCAACACTTTTGACATGCTTGAAACACCTGATATTGCATTCCAGATGACCTTACTTGTGAGGTCAAGGTCTCAGATGTCTTTTCTTAAAGTTATTCAGTTTGCTGTCAGTGCTGCTCAGCTAATCTTTCTGTGCGATAGCAACACATCTCTTTGAGGTCCTCCCCTATAGCTCTATACTATGCAGAATATTCACAAACATCAATTACTACTGCCCAGTGCCCATTTATGAATTCAAGTTCTTGATTATTGTTTGTGACCTGGTGAGGTGCGAGCCTGGTGGATTTGTCACAGAGCCTTATAAGGATTTTAGCCGTAGTTAGAACAAGATAGTGGTGTTGTTGGTCCCTTTGACATAACATTCTCAGCCGCCTCTGGTCCGGTTGGAAAGAAACCTGTAGCCAGTGACACGTGATTCAATGATCAAACCATTCATCTTAAAATTTATCTTAAGCCTGACCTGGAAGTTTGGATATCTATTTAAATCTATTTAACTGTGATCCAATACACTCAAATAGTGCACTATTAACGTTAGCATTTTTTTTCTTTTTTGGGGGGGCAGAAAATTATGAGATTTACTTGTGAAACAGATTATAAGGATAATAGGAAGATGTGGATATAGGTGTGTGTTTTTAATTCTTTAATACGATTCTTATTAATGAGGTTCCATTTTCAGTTACAATCAGTGGTTCTATCTTTGGAAGCAAAGGATGCAGCTGCTGAAATTGAGTGTCGGCTGCAGCTGGGATCGAATCTCAGTGATGTAGTTAGCAACAGGGAGGATGCCCTTGCATTGTTCAATTTATATAAAGATGAAGGCTATATTTTGACTGAGTATGGGGGAAAATTCTGTGTAAGTAAACTACCTTCTTGGCTTCTTGTCATTGCTTTAAGTTTTTATGTTTTTTATTTTTATTTTTTTGGTTTCATGCGGGTACCTTTTTCTTTATGCACCTATAAATTAGATGAGTGGCCTATGGATCCTTCATCAAAGTCCACATTGGATTTTTTGACTTATGATCAGTCCTTGCTATTAGAAGTTAGAAAATCTGAATGCTCATTGCAGGAAAGGTCTGCGGTATCGTGCAAAATGATTGGTGTACTTGCATAATGGTCTGCATTTGATAATTAAATGAGTAAATTACCTTATGAATAATTGTCTGGTCTGTAATGAACAATTTTCAGCCATTTTGAGTGCTCATGTGATGGCTAAGACACATAAGGAGGTTTCTGAGCATGGTTAGTGTTTCATTTTCTATATTCCATATATTTCAACAGTACGACCTAACTAAAATATATACACACACTCAACAATTACATATATACCCTTTACACTACATATACATAGTTTCCAACACTCCCCCTCAAGCTAGAGCATATATATCTATCATGTCCAGCTTGTTACCCTTTTACTAACTAGAGACTTCATGAAGATGTCAGTTAGTTGTTCCCCTATTCTAACATGATTAGTAGCAATTAGCTTTTGTTCAAGTTTCTCTCGAACAAAGTGACAATCCACTTCTATATGCTTAGTCCTCTCGTAAAAGACTGAATTGTTTGCTATATGTATGGCTGCTTGGTTGTCACACCACAAGTCCATAGTCCCTGGGTCACCAAACCCAATTTCTCTAAGAAGATGTCTTGTCCATATAAGCTCACACGTAACTTGTGCCATAGCCCGATACTCAGACTCTGCGCTTGACCTAGCTACAACCAGTTGCTTCTTACTTTTCCAAGAAATAAGATTTCCTCCAATAAAAACACATAACCCAGTCACAAACCGTCTATCCACAAAGGATCATGCCCAATCTGCATCTGAAAAACCTTCTACCTTATTATAACCATGATCACTGTAAAGAATCCCACGTACAGGGGCTCATTTTAGATACTTCAAAATATAGAGGACCACTTCCCAATGAGATGTCCTAGGAGATGACATAAATTGACTCACCACACTCACTGAAAAAGCAATATCTGGACGGGTTACTATAAAGTAGTTTAACTTTCCAACTATCTGTTTGTATCTCTCTGGATCACCAAACATCTCTCCATCCTCAGCATTCAATCTCACATTAGGAACCATAGGAGTGTCACAAGGCTTAGCCTCACTTAGACCTATTTCGGTCAACACATCTAACACATACTTGCATTGAGAGAGAAGAATCTTTTTCTTACTCCGAGAAACCTCGACTCCCAGAAAATACCTTAAGTGTCCAAGTCTTTTGTGTGAAATTTGGAAGCCAAAAGTTTTTCAAACTCTGAATGCCAACATCATCACTGCCAGTGATTACAAGTCATCAACATAAACAACGAAAAGAATGATGTCAGAACTAGATTGCTTATAAAAGAAGAATGATCATAAGCACTCCTATGTAAACCAAACTGAATCACCACTTCGCTAAACCTCCCAAACCACACCTGTGGAGATTGCTTTAAGCCATATAAAGATTTCCTCAGTTTACATACCTTTCCTGACTCCTTCTGAGCAACAAACCTCGGAGGTTGCTCCATGTAAACCTCTTTAAGAAGATCACCATGTAAAAGACATTTTTTACATCAAGTTGGTGAAGAGGCCAACAATATGAAGCTGCAAGAGAGATGAATAGTCGGACAGAGGTCATTTTAGCCACTGGGGAGAATGTCTCAGAATAATCAATACCATACGTCTGGGCATAACCCTTTACAACCAAACGAGCTTTCAATCGAGCCACAGTCCCATTGGGATTAGCCTTCACTGTGAAAACCTATTTGCACCCAATAGCCTTTTTATTTTCAGGCAACTCCATTAGAACCCATGTATCATTATGTTCTAGAGCCAACATCTTTTCTTTCATAGCCCTTCGCGACCCATTATGAGTAATTGCTTTAGACACAGAATTGGGAACAGACACAGAGTCTAAAAAGGCAATAAAAGACTTGGAAGATGAAGACAAAGTGATCGGAAACAAATGAGGAGATAGGATAGGTACAAGAGCGCTTACCTTTACGAAGAGCAATGGGAAGATCATGATCATGGTCATAGGAAGGAGGAACCGGATCCAAGGGCGAGGCAGTCGATAGAGGCAATGGATCAGATGTTGCTGCAGGTGTCTCATGGTGTTGGTGAACCCTACGAGAGTATACCTGGGTGATAGGAGGACAAGATGGTAGAGGACTATGATGGGTAATGTTGTAAACAAGAAGATCATCAGGGGGTGTTTCAAGAGAAGTAGATGAAGTGGAGGACTCAACATATGGAGTTGTTTCAAAAAAGGAAACATCAGCTGAGATAAGGTACTTACCTAGGACAGGAGAAAAACAATGATAACCCTTCTGATATCGGGAATAACCCAAGAATATGCACTTGAGGGACTTAGGTTCAAATTTTGATACATGAGGTCTAACATCTTGAACAAAGCACGTGCACCCAAACACTGTAGGAGGAAGAGAGAATAAAGGCTATGATGGAAAAAGGATAGAGAATGGGATTTGACCACTCAAAACAGAAGAAGGCATGCGATTGATCAAGTGACATGCTGTAGAGATAGCATTTGCTCAAAATTCTGTAGAGACTTTCATGTGAAAAAGGAGAGTACGAGCGACTTCTAATAAATGACTATTTTTGCGTTCAGCAATTCCATTTTGCTGAGGTGTATAAACACATGATGATTGATGAATAATACCTCTAGTAGACAGAAAGGAGGAGAAAGGAGCAGAAAAGTATTCTTTGGCGTTATCACTTCTGAGAATTTTAATAGATGAAGTAAATTGATTTTGTATTTCAACATAAAATGTACAAAATATGGAGAATAATTCAGAACAATTTTTCATAAAGTACAACCAAGTTACACGTAAAAAATCATCCACAAAAATAATAAAGTATCGATATCCAGACTTAGACAACACAGGGCAAGGACCCCAAACATCAGAATGTGTAACATCAAAAGGGGCTGTGGCCTTTTTGTTTATCCTAGGGCTATAGGACACTCTATGGTGTTTTCCAAACTGACATGCCTCACACTCAAGGTGTGACATTGACCCTACAGTAGGACACAACCTTTTCAAAATGGGAAGGGGAGGATGACCAAGGCAACCATGTAATATGGGTAGAGATGAATCACCGGTACACACAACAGGTTGAGAGCCAGGAGTGGAGACATCATCGAGCATATACAGGTCACCTGATACACGGCCCCTACCAATAATCTGCCTCGTCTCAAGATCCTGAAAAATACAATGAGTAGAAAAAAAGAAAACACCACAATTGAATGCATTAGTAATTTGACTAACAGATAAAAGATTAAAGGGAAAATGAGGAAGGCACAGGATAGAGGAGAGAGACATAGATTTGTTGAGACGGGCAGTACCACATCCAATAATAGGTGCAGTAGACCCGCCAGCTAAGGTAACGGAAGACAAATTGGGAGAAAGTGTAAATGAGGAGAGAATACCTGTATCGCCCGTCATATGGTGGGTAGCACCAGAATCAATGCCCAGTTACTACTAGAAGTGGACAAACAGATTTTAGGATTACCTAATTGGGTTAATGTAGTGGTAGTCGATGGGATGGATGACTGGGAGCAAGAATTCTGAGTGAGACGAGCATATTCTACTGCAGAGATAGTAACCAGTGATGGGGTGGGTAAGAGACCATCTTGAGTTGCAACATGAGCAAACTTCTGAGTGTCTTACATATTCAAGGGTTTGCCATGGAGCTTCCAACAATTTTTTTTTTTTTTACGTGACCACCCTCAGCATCACGACGAAAGCAAGTACGAGGGCTATTATCACGATTGTTCCCGGTATCACGACTTGTCCCTTTGTTACCTTTTCCATCACTAGACTTTATGCTAGTTAGGGCCGCATGATCAACATTAGGATCCTTAAGGGTTTCTTTGTCCTTAGACACTCCTCGATTTTCCCCCTTACTAACTCTAAGAAGTCGAGCAAAGAAGAACGACGAAGAACAGTCGCTGGAAAAAGAGAAACGAAAGTCGCCAGAGATAACAGAGGTCGCCGGAGAGATCAGGGGAACAAAGAACAACGAAGAACATATTCAAACGTCGCCGGAAAAAGAGAAGCTAAGGGCAGACGTCTCCGGAAAAAGAGAAACCATGGACAAAGATGTCACCGGAGATCGTTGGTCGCCGGAAAACAGAAACAAGGAAATGGGTTTAAGGTTTAAGGGTTCACACGTCGTCCAAGAGCTCTGATACCATGTTTCATTTTCTATATTCCATATATTTCAATAGTAAAACCTAACTAAAATATATACACACACTCAACAATTACATATATACCCTTTACACTACATATACATAGTTTCCAACAGTTAGAAAGTATAAAATCTGGGAACAAAGTCTTAGCATAATCACTATAACATATCTTTCTGAGAAGACTGTATTTCCTTTTAGAGTCTTCTACTTTATTTTATTGAGAAAAAATAATCTGAAAAAAAAAATGAAGCCCAAGATCAAGAATGATTTTGACATTACCATTAATTAGAAGAATGAATTAATAGGAACATGGGGTAAAATATTTCCTTTCTTTTCTCTATTTGGGCAGCATCGAACTGTTGATAAAAGGTGGCAAGCTAATGTTCTGAAATTTTTTCTATTTCTAATGGAATTACTGGCTTTAATCAGGTTGTTCTTAAAGAAAGTTCCTTACCTCAAGACATGCTGAAGTCATTGTTCCAAGTCAATTATCTGTACTGGTTGGAGAGAAATGCTGGAATTGTAGCAAGAGGTGCCTCTACGGACTGCAGAAAAGGTGGAAGGCTACAAATATCTCTAGAGTATGTGCAAAGGGAATTCAACCATGTCAAAAGTGACAGTGCAGCAGCAGGTTGGGTCACTGATGGACTTATTGCAAGACCTTTGCCTAATAGGATTCGTCCTGGTTATCTGGAGTCTTCAACTTCAAGTTAATGGCATGATACACCATAAATTCTGTTTTTCTTCTGCAATGAGTTTCATGGCTTCCTATGAGCTGGCAAAAGGAAGAGAAAATGCTTTGAAGATCATTTGGGAACCCATTGATATGTTGACCATGATTTTGTTAAACTAGCCATTCCTCGTAAATTTTTTCATACGCAAAAGAATTTAGTTTCAGAACTTTTGAGGTGATGTCCATTATTGGGGATGGCCTGACATCTATCAAGATAAAAGTAGTCAGTCCATTGGAAAGTAAGTTGCGAGACTGTTTCTTACAGATTTTTCTTTTTTAGGAAAGAAAATACAAAAATGTTGATATTTGATCACTGTATTGGCTATACTTACCCAGTGATTTTGAGCACTAGTTTTGAGTTAATTATTAGTATCTTTATTTACTGATGATATGGATCTACTTGCATTAAAAAAATGTGAATTGTAAACATTTAACAGGTATCCAACCTGATTGGTTCGCTGGATGAAGAGGAAGTTATGCAGGCATGTTTGCAGTGAGCAATATTGTTACCACAACTATTGTGAGGTTAGAAGAATAGATGGAAAGATCATTGGTGACAAACACTTATATAGAACCCGGAATTGTTCTTTCTGGAATGATAATCATCCTACTATCAACTTACTAGTCCTTAGGACCAAAGATTGTCTTTACTTTGGGAAAGTTATTGTAGAAATCTTTTCATTTTTTTTGGTTAAATACAACTAGAGTTACCAAACCAAAAAAAAAAAAAAACTACGGTATGGGGTGTTGATTGGTTTAGAATTGGAGCAAAGTAAATTGCCTTAGTGAAACTAAAACTAAAACCTCACAAGTCCCATAGATAATGAAAGAGGTGAAGAAACTATGGGAGGAAGTGAGGGAGCTAAGCCTTGGAAACAATAGTGAAGTAGAACGCCTAAACTCTGCACCAACACCTCTGCAATTCCTTAGAGATCATGTCTCTCAAAACAAACCCTTTATTATTAAAAAACCCAACCTCCATTGGCCAGCTTTTTCTCTTTGGCCCCAACCCTCTTATCTCTCCAATAAACTCTCTTCATCTCTCGTCTCTGTCCACCTTACACCTAATGGCCGCGCCGATTCAATCGTCAACCACCTGGGTTCCTTATGTTTCGCCTCTGCGCACGTGGAGCGCATGCCATTTGATGAAGCTATAAAACTTGTATCGAATTCGAATTTGCAAGATTCTAAACTTGTGGCTTACTTACAACAGCAGAACGACTGCTTCCGGTCTGAGTACTCTGTTTTGGGTTCAGAATGTGATGAACATATTCCTTGGGCTACTGAAGCTCTTGGATGTTATCCTGAGGCAGTGAATCTTTGGATTGGGAATCATTTGTCAGAGACTTCTTTTCATAAAGATCATTATGAGAATCTCTATGTGGTTGTTTCTGGTAAAAAGCATTTTCTTTTACTTCCTCCTACTGACGTCCATCGTATGTACATTCGTCAATATCCTGCTGCTAATTACTCCTATTCCCAGGTAAAACATGAGTTGTTTGATATGGATATGGAAATTTTAACGAAACTCTTTTGCTTAAATGCGCTCGAAAATATTTTCTTGATACAATACTAAACACTAAATGGCAAAAAAAAAAAAAAAAAAAAAAACCTTAGAAAACAAAATTTGAATATGACCTTAAATAGATTTTTTAAAGTGTCTTGGTTTTTTAAACTTATTTTCATCCTAAATTACATTGCGCTTGTTGATAGAACAATATGATACCTTGGATGTTTTTGCATTGTAGGATGTGGGAGAGTTTACAGTGGAACTTGAGAGGCCGATGAGATTTGTACCTTGGTGTAGTGTGAACCCATATCCATCTCCGGAGACTAGAGAAAGTGAAATGGCTAAATTTCCATCGTTTTTTGACGGGCCTAAGCCATTTGAGTGTACTGTCAATGCAGGAGAGATTCTTTACTTGTAAGATTTGTTTCCTTCTTCTTTTCTTTTTTTTTTCGTTCATATTCTTTTCTTTATGAGAATGCATTTGCAGTTTATTGCACAACATTTCAACTTCAGTTTTTTCTTCTGGGATGGCTTATAAGCTGTAATTCATTTAGGACAAATAGCAAGTGAGAGGTTTTTGGAGTAGTGAGAAAAATTGAATTTTCGAACTTAAGTTTTAAGAATTGGCAATTTAACATTCATTTCATATTAATTATGTTAAGAAGACACCTGGTTTTTATGGGCAAATAAAGATTTTGAATGAGTTAGGATGTTGCTAATATTTATTTTTATCACATTGGCTACATTTTGATGAATGAATACTTTACACTTGTATTTAGATAGAGTAACCAAGTAATCAGTGTAATGCATGGTTATATATATATATATATATATATATATATTTCTCTTAGTTGCATTCATGTTATGAAACCTTCACTAGGAGTTTCTTTAGGCATCAATTTGGTATAAATGACATTGGTGAATAATAAGAAGTTGCCATTATCATCTGAGTTTCTTGGAGAGCTTCTTATGTATCTTGCATTTGAAGTGTTAAGTCTTCAGAAGACTAGGAAAAACATCTTCCTAAGAAATGTCTGTTCCATCTGGAAGGGAAAATCACCTTGATTATTTTTGTTTTAGTTTAATAATTGCTGTTTGTTCTCTTTGATATTTGTATCTTTTCAAATGTCTAAAATGTAACTGTAGAATTATCTATACTTATATCTAAATTGAGATAGAAAATTTGGCCAAAGTTTGGTCAAATTATTTCATATACTAAAGTTCGTTGGTGCCAGTGGATCCAGCAGTTGAACTTCAGGCCCTCTAATATGGCAGGACTGTTACAGTTTCATGATCATGATCATGATCCCTATACTTAAGTTCATTATCGTGCTGTTTATTTTAATGGGTTTGCTGAGTAAAATGATATTCACAATTACGTGAATTAAGATTTTAAAGCTGAAATTAAATGTAATTTTCTTAGACTACTTTCAAATGGTTGAATTGGGGAAAAAGATTATAGGTATACATATTTGAAGCACGAGTGGAATAGAAATGCACTTGGGCTTAGATTAACTGCTTTTGTAAAGCTGATGGTAATTCTGAGGTCAATCTGGTGGAATTAATGCAGGCCAAGTATGTGGTTTCATCATGTTAGGCAGAGTCCAGATGACAACGGATTCACTATTGCAGTAAACTATTGTAAGACGGAGCCTCTTTTTTATGTCCTTAGATTAAGATTATGTTAGACATAAATTGTTGTATGTGTGGCAGGGTATGATATGCAATTTGATATCAAATATGCATACTTCAATTTCTTGCAATCAATTCATTACAAATCACCCCATGGTCCAACATTGCTAGAAATTGAATGTGGAGTCTCGGGATCTGTTGCATCTGCACCAAATGAAGGGGAGGCTGATAAAGTGACTGAAGATGAATGAGCACAGATGTGATGAGACATTGTGTTTGTCTCTCCCTTTGTTTCCCTATATGTGTCTGTTAAAATCATTCCTGATGAACTCTTCTAAATTTCTAAATCTATAACGAAATTGCTGTATCTCAAAAAGCAATTTGTTGGGTGGATAAATATTTTCATATTTCATCCATTACACTTTATTAAGCATTGTCCCTTCATATTCTTTTGGGATGTGAGTTTCCAAAAGATAGGCTGGATGTACTGGATTTTTTATCTTCAGCATGCTCTTCTATTAATTTGATGTGGGTATGAATGGTAAGAAATTGAATTGGATGTTATTCTTTCTCTTGATAAACGGCTTGTCTTATAAGTTGACTCTCCCTGATCCAGAAGGTATAAATAATTTGTGTTTTGTTGTGGAAAGATGGTGCTGATATTCTAGAAGATAACCGTTATGGTCTAGAAGAACAGTGCAAACTCACGTGTGGCCCGCTCTATAAAGTAGTTAAGACTAGAGCTGGGCATTTGGGTCACACGGAGTTTGTCACGGTTCCAAATGCCCAGCTCTAGTCTTAACTACTTTATAGAGTGGGACAAACTCAGCTGGGCATTTGAGACCCAAATGCCCAGCCTAGTCTTAACACTTTATAGAGGCGGGCCACACGTGAGTTTGTCACTGGGCCAGCTTCAAAAACCGGTCCTAAGACCGGTCCTCCGATCCCAGCTCCAAAAACCAGTCCTAGGACCAGTCCTTGGGAGGACCAATCCGGACCAGGCCTAAGGAGGAGAGTCGGGCCTCCACTGGGCCCTCTCCAAGGCCGGGCCTGGGCCCAAATTTTTTTTACTTTTATCAATTTAGTCTTTTGTAAAATTACATGAAACCCCCTAATAAGTATAAATTTAGGATTAAATGAAATTTTATAAAATTTATTTAAAAAAAAAAATTTAACCGTTGGCTACCAACGGTGCAACTCACACCAACGATTAATTTATATAATTATAAGTTTTTTTTTTTCATTTTTCCCCTAAAACTACACTATAAATAACCTAAACCTTTAATTTTTTTCACACCAATCAATCTCCATTCTTTTATTCTCTCAATCTCTCTATTCCAATCTCCAATCAATTCATTCAATTTATATTATAATTATTATTATTATTCAAATTTTTTTCTATTTTCAATATCATCATAATTTCATTTATTATTTATTTTCATTTTAATTATTTATTATTTATCATAAATTTATAATGTCTTCCCCAAATGAGTTTTACGTTCCATCCACCGAAGAAATTGAAGCCTTCAATCCATTTTCACATTTCCTTCAAAGGATGCAGCTGTAATCCACAACCACATTCGGTCGAGACGAAGTATAGCCAAAACATGTGAGCTACGAGTCAACGGCACAGACATAGCCCAACCCCCCGACCGTCAAAGAGGGTCGTGTACGATGTCTGGTGATACTTCACCAAATCAAAACGGCCAAAGACAAATGGGGAGGGGGAAGGATCGTGTGGGATATGTAATTTATGTGGAACCATTATGGGGCTGAGAAGGGGACTTCGACGATGCGACGACACGTAGAGAAGAAGCATCCCCAATAAATGCATCTTCAAGCGGATCAGGTAGACAAATTCAAACTCAACTTAATTAAGTCACAATCCTCAACTCTCTCAACATAGCAATACAATACACCTGTTGCACGAGAGGAAATAGCAAGATATATAGTTGTACGGACTCTCCCATTTGTTTATTGAAAATCCTTTTTTTGTTAATATGGTTAAAACTGCATTTTGTCCAGCATATACCCCTGTTAGTAGAACTACAAGTAGAAGAATATACTAAAACTTATAACAAAATAAATAATAACTTAAAAACGAATTTCAAAATTTTAGGAATATATCTATTGCACTATATCAGACATATGGGCTTGTAGATCAAAAACCGATTTTTTAACTGTCACAGTACATTTCTTAGATCATAATTGGGGTTTACAACAAAAATTGATAGGTTTTAAACCATTATATGAAAAACATAGTGCTGAAACTATTTATTTTACAATTCTTGAAGTTTTGCAAGAATATTATTAACTGATAGGTTGTAGCGCTAACGCTTGATAATGCAGCTGCTAACACCGCGGCAATATCTTTATTTGAAAAGAAATTGGATCCGTGGTGAAGACAAATTTTATCACCAGAGATGTGTTGTCACATCATCAATTGATAGTTAAAGCAGGTTTAAATGTATACATTAAAGATGGAGAGGGTGCGTAGAGCTATCGGATTTTCGTCGGCGGTAGTATAAATATGGCAGGAGTACGTCAAATATTGTAAGCAAGAGGACCCACCGGTTCGACCTTTGAAGTTATGTACAGACATGCCTATCGTTGGAACTCTACCTACTTGATGTTGGAAAAAACTTTGCAAACGCGAAACAAATTACAGATTTTGTCAACCGAGAACTATCAGAGGAAGTGTCAACTATAATGATTGGGCGGTTTGTGAACCTTTTAATTCATTTCTTAAAATTTTTTATGATGCTACTAATACATTAAGTGGTTTTATATCCAACTACTAATTTAGTGTTAGATATTTTAGTTCAAATTGCTAAAACTTTTGATCAATATAGATATAATAACATTTTAAGTGAAATTGTTTCAAGTATGGAAGAAAAATATAAGAGATATTGGTTAGATATTCCATTCTTATATGGATTAGGTCTTTTTCTAGATCCTAGGTTTAAATTATCCGTAGTTAACAGTGTAATTATGAGTTAGGCCATTATTTAGGACATGATTATACGTCTTATTTGACTGACTTTAAACACACAATTGGATAGGCTTTTTTCTTATATAAGAACAGATACAATGGAAATAAAAGTGGAGGTGGAAGTGGAAAGTCTATGAGAGGCGATCAGGACTTGATGTAGCCCTCCCTCAAGGATCAAGCAAGTAGGGTATGTGGGACGTGGCAAAAGCTCCAGCTCTAGCTCCAGCTCGTACATACATAGAGCAATGAGATGACTCTACCTACAGGTGGACTTGACCTTTCTGACGATGAAGGAGTAACTGAGCATGGATATTCTCAATGGTGGAACCAACAAGAAAGTCATTCCCCATATATCCCAAATGGCACGTGATATTTTATCTGTGCTGGTTTCTACAATTGCATCCGAGTCAACATTTTCAACGAGTGGTCGGATTGTTGAAGGCAGAAGATGTTCTTTAACCGATGAGATGATGAAGTGATAAAGTGTTTACGGGATTTGATCATGCAGAAAGAAGACTACAACAGCACCCTGAAGATCCCGAACTACTCGAACTCTTTAGGAATACAGATTTGAAAATGTAACTAGTGTTGACGATGAAATTGAAGATGAATAATTTAATTAAAAAAAATTTTAATTGTTTATTTGGAAGCGTGAATGGTGGAAATGGAATATTACATTTATGTTAAAAATTAAAATTAACTATTTAATTATATTTTTTAAATTAATTAAATTTTTAGAAACTTACTAATCAACCCCTAAAAAAACTAAAACCCCTATAAAATGTTGTTTTGTCCCCAAAATATAAAAAAAAAATTAAGGAGGGAAAATAAAATTTTCCAAACCCCATGGACCGGTCCTGGGCCATGGGACTAGTCCCGACCAAGCCTAAGACCTAGTCCGGGTCCTGGGACCGATCCCAGGCCCATGAGAGACTGGTCCCATTTGGGACCAGTCCCAAACGGGCCCAGGCCTGGGCCGCAAGGACCGGTCCCTTGCCCAACTCTAGTTAAGACTTAAGAGGTAGAGGTAGTGAAGTGTGCTCTGTTTTTGTCAACAAAAATGAAAATTTTATCATCCCCCAATTCCTACCCATTTATTATTTCTCATTCATCTTTCACTTCCAGCACCAAATTAATTAACCCTCCATCTTCCCTCACTCACCCCCTCAACTCCTCACTAGAAATTCAACTACCTCTATCCCTACGTTCCCCAAACCAAAAACTGATTAAACAGAGAAGGCTGAGAACTAAAACTAAGAACATTCCCACAACCACAACCACAACCACAACCACAGACATTATACGCATAATGGTTGCCCTTCGCCTTCCCATACCACCTGACATGTTTACTTCTCTAGTTAAAGACTGCACCATCAAAAAAGACTCCAACGGAGCTATAGAATTATACTCTTACATCATCAACAACAACAACAACAGAGTCTTGAAACCCACGGTACTCTTGCTCAACCGTCTCCTTCTGTTGCATGTCTCCTGCGGCCAACTCTACACTGCCCGTCAACTGTTCGATCAAATGTCTCTTAGAGATTTCAACTCTTGGGCTATCATGATTCTCGGTTACATTGACATAGCCGATTACCAAGAGTCCATTGCCCTCTTTGTACAAATGATGAAGCTGCAACAACAGGAGTTGGTATTCCCTTCCTGGATTATAGTTTGCATTCTTAAGGCTTGTGTGTGCACCATGAATATGGGATTGGGAAAGCAAGTACATGCTTTGTTGTTTAAGTTAGGTAGTAGTAACAACATTTCTTTGACGGGTTCGTTGATTAACTTTTATGGCAAATTTAGATGCTTAGAGGATGCTAATTTTGTCTTTAACCAACTTAACCGTCATAATACTGTTGTTTGGACGGCTAAGATTGTTAACAACTGTAGGGAAGGACATTTCTTTGATGTTTTTAATGATTTTAAGGAAATGGCAAGGGAAGGAATTAAGAAGAATAGTTTCACCTTCTCTACTGTTCTTAAGGCATGTGCTAGGATGGATGATGATGGCAACTGTGGCCAACAGGTGCATGCTAATGCTATCAAACTTGGGCTGGACTGGGATGTTTATGTGCAGTGCGGATTAGTTGACATGTATGGAAAACAGGGGTTACTGGGAGATGCCAAAAGGGTGTTTGCAATTATGGATGATAACGAAAACGTTGCGTCTTGGAATGCCATGCTTGTGGGTTATTTAAGGAATGGGTTTTGTGTTGAGGCCATTAAGTTTATGTATCAGATGAAAGCAGCTGGAATTGAGGTGCAGGAATCGTTGATCAAAGACGTGAGGATTGCTTGTGGTAGTGGTAGTAATGTTCTTGGAAACAGGGCCGAACAAACTGTTATGGAGAGTAAATAACTTAACACCATTTCTTTCGATTATACATGGATGGCTTGCCATAGCTTCTTGTCCTTCTATGCATAGAGCAGAACCCTAGCTTTAATATAGTAGCAAACTAGACCATAACTATAAATCTTTTCATCCCTGCTGGTGAGAGACTGCTTCTGTGGGCATGAAAAAATGGGTACACTGACTCAACTATGTGCCATATGCAACAACATGTCACTCTTTTATCTTTTAATTCCAGTAATGTTTCAGAACACTGATTCAGTTATGATGCGAATTCACATTCAAGGCAACCCATTAATCTTCATATGAGCCAAGCAAAGTTTATGGGAAAAGCCATTCATGATTCTAGAAGCAATTCGGCAAAGGCATCAAGTTACTAAGCTTGAAATCTTGAACGGCAACAATTAGGTTTGATATGGGTCGTACCACATGAGGAGAAACTATTAGCTGGTTTACATACCATTATACAGCTACTGCTGTGTATGTTGAACAGATATAATATGCTACGGATGAGGTGTGTCCGGATATTCTGTATTTGAATTACATTTATGAATGTATTATCATTGAAACAAAGTGGTAACCAAAGTCTTTCTGTAGCATATTATCTGTTTTATTCAAGCACTTGGAGCAAGGTTTGATTTACTAGTTGAAGTGGCAGAGCTTTTGGAGTAAATAATGGTAAACATCCCTTTAGATATGGTTATCAATTACAAGGTTGGTTCCAGATGGTCTGTTGATGCCTACTTTAGTTCGGAGAAAGAGTATCACTCAAGTCAGCACATCTCGAATGATTGAGTGTTCTTGAAGAATTTTCAACGTGAAATTCATAGAAGTATAAGATCCCAGTAATTGGTACTCATCTAAGTCTTGGATTTTGGTCACTTGGTGTTGAGAATTCTGCTTTAGAAAATAGAAAAAGATAAGGAAGAAAAATAGTATTGCTCGAGTTACTCACAATAATAATCTACTTTTAGAACTTAAGAAAGGTATTTGTTCTGGTCCTTCTGAGATGTACCTACCTTTGTTGAATAATTATATATTTGATGCTTGTAGAGTTCTTTATTCTGATGATGGATAAATGTAATATTTTGTGCAACTCAGCGTCATGGATGTCGTTATCTTTTTTCTGGTTTCTGTTGTTGCTTGGAGAGGGCTTTTTAGAGATAATGTCTCAAGCTCTCCTTCTCCGATCTGGTAAACCAATTAAATGCTATTAATCCAGTTGAAAGCATATCATAAGTTAGTTTACAAGTGCCGAAACTTTTTAAATTTGTTGGAAGTTGGATGATGGATGAGGATGAAACTTTTTATCAGCAAATTGTATTTATATGTTGATTATTCAAAGATGAAGTTCCTTTATATTTGCTTTGATCCCCGTCTAGAAATTGTGTGTGATATCATATGTTGCATTGCAGTAGAAGAGTGAAAACGGAAGAGCTAAGGAATGAAGTCTCCTTGTTTGGTTTGGTAAAAAATGAATTATCTCACTATCTGCAGGCACGATATAAGACGTTTGTCCAAAGCATATGTGGTTGATCAATGTTCCATTTAGGTTGATGTTGATGTATTAATGCAGGCTATGCTATTGGGTCCTATTATCTATATCTACTACTGAAAGCAATATCGATGGCGATGGTGATATTAAATCAGGACTAGAGGTGCATAAGAAATCTGCTGTTCGACAGTAACTAGTAGATTATTACTCATCCACATAGATGCATGGATAATAAATCCACGTTGTTTCTGCGGGTCCTAGTTTGTTAATGATTGTCCATTTCTGTCTACGGATATTTTTATTTGGTGTGATATTATACACCACAGAATTCCAGTATCTCAATAACAACGTAATAATTTATTTATTACGCTACATCGCCGTAAAATTGGAAGACAAACTTGCTTCAACTTGTTAGTAGCTGTAGATATTCAAATAATTGTTGTCTTGGAGTGTTGAATAGATGGGTAAATTTCTCTTGGTTTCATATCATTTTTATAGCAAACTTTTGAGAAACTATTACCAATGGTCCCCTGTCCATTTAAGGGTACCGAAAATATCAGTCTCAAGCCAGTTTGGTATCTTTTGGCATTGGCAGGATTCCCTCGCTTGCTGCTCATAAATATACTACCATCCATCCATCACTTGCTATGATTAAGTCCATTGGTTTCTGTTCAACAACAAATATTAACATGGATGCCTTCTCTTCTTCCTTCCTCTCCAAAATCCCCATTATCATACCAAAATCAACTACAACACCACCTTTCTTACCTTATGCTCACCACCTCAATATTTCCTCTGTTAGAATTGAAGAAAAGCCTCCAACTCAAGTCACCAAAACTACCACCACAACCTCCAACAACAAAACACTTACTCCTACAGCAACAACCCCAACCCCATCTCTAAAATCCTCACCTTCATTCCCTCCATCAACTGCCCACAAGAGACGTGTTGATCCACCAATTTCATCTATCATATTCAATTCATTTGACAACATCATCAACAACTTCATAGACCCTCCAGTCAAGTCCTCTGTTGATCCAAGACATGTTCTTTCTGACAACTTTGCTCCTGTGGATGAGCTGCCTCCGACAGAGTGTGAAGTAATACAAGGATCACTCCCCTCTTGTCTAGACGGTGCATACATCCGCAATGGCCCCAACCCTCAGTATCTTCCTCGTGGACCTTACCACCTCTTTGATGGTGATGGCATGCTTCACTCTATGCAAATATCTCAAGGCAAAGCCATTCTCTGCAGCCGTTATGTCAAGACTTATAAGTACACCATTGAGCGTGATGCTGGCTCTCCAATCCTTCCTAATGTTTTCTCAGGCTTTAATGGCCTAACTGCCTCTGCAGCTCGTGGTGCTCTTTCTGCTGCCAGATTCCTTGCTGGTCAATTCAATCCTGTTAATGGCATTGGTCTGGCTAACACTAGCTTGGCTTTCTTTGGCAACCGACTCTATGCTCTTGGTGAGTCTGATCTACCTTATGCTTTACGTTTGACATCAAACGGAGACATAGAGACTATTGGTCGCCAAGATTTTGATGGCAAGCTGTTAATGAGCATGACTGCTCACCCCAAAGTAGATCCTGAAACAGGTGAAGCTTTTGCTTTCAGATATGGCCCCGTGCCACCATTTTTAACTTACTTTCACTTTGATGCCAATGGTAGAAAACAAGCAGATGTACCTATATTCTCCATGGTTCGTCCTTCTTTTCTTCATGACTTTGCAATCACCAAGAAGTATGCAATATTTTCTGACATACAGATAGGAATGAATCCCATGGAAATGATATTCGGAGGAGGGTCTCCGGTGGGTTCAGATTCAACAAAAGTGCCAAGACTTGGAATTATTCCAAGATATGCAAAAAATGAGTCCCAAATGAGGTGGTTTGATGTTCCAGGATTCAACATCATACACGCCATAAACGCCTGGGACGAAGATGATGGTAATGCAATTGTGATGCTGGCACCCAACATACTTTCAGTTGAACACACTTTAGAAAGAATGGACCTTATCCATGCCTTGGTAGAGAAAGTAAGAATCGACCTCAGGACTGGCCTAGTAACAAGGCATCCTATATCAGCAAGAAATCTAGACTTTGCAGTTATAAATCCGGCTTATGTAGCCAAGAAAAATAGATATGTGTATGCAGCAATAGGTGATCCAATGCCAAAGATATCAGGGGTGGTGAAACTAGACGTGTCAAAAGGGGAGCGCCAAGAGTGCATCGTGGCCACCCAAATGTTTGGACCAGGGTGCTATGGAGGTGAACCATTCTTCGTGGCAAGGGAACCTGATAACCCGGACGCAGAGGAGGAGGATGGATATGTGGTGTCTTATGTTCATGATGAGAATGCAGGGGAGTCCAAATTCTTGGTTATGGATGCAAAGTCACCAAATCTTGATATTGTGGCCGCAGTGAAGCTACCCCGGCGGGTGCCTTATGGATTTCACGGGCTTTTTGTGAGGCAAAGTGACCTGGATAAGCTCTAGGAACATTGTTAAAACTAGATACCAAATAGTAATTACAAATACAAGTCGTTAGTCGTAAGACCTAATTGTAATTGATCATTATAATCATAGTTCCTGCTCCTTAAGACACAGCCTTAGTGTTAAGATGGCAAATTATGTTGCTACTCATACTCAATTGTATCAGTAAATAAAGGTTGAGAATAAATTCCAATCTGACATTATTACAGTTGAAAGATGCTTATCAACGGGACCGTCGCTTTGGCTATTGCTTTAAGCTACTGCTAAAGCAAAGTTATTATGTGTTGCAAGAATTCACTCACTGTCTTATTAAATTGATTGTATTTCACTCCACCGATTGAAAGTCAAATGAGTGACAATTATTTTTCTTCTGGAGGAAGCGGTGTGGATAGAGAGTGAGCTGAGGAAGCAACAGGTGTGGTCTGAGACGGGACAGGCGTTGTTGACACGAACTAGAGCCAGCCAACACANTAGTCATACTCAATTGTATCAGTAAATAAAGGTTGAGAATAAATTCCAATCTGACATTATTACAGTTGAAAGATGTTTATCAATGGGACCGTTGCTTTGGCTATTGCTTTAAGCTACTGCTAAAGCAAAGTTATTATGTGTTGCAAGAATTCACTCACTGTCTTATTAAATTGATTGTATTTCACTCCACCGATTGAAAGTCAAATGAGTGACAATTATTTTTCTTCTGGAGGAAGCGGTGTGGATAGAGAGTGAGCTGAGGAAGCAACAGGTGTGGTCTGAGACGGGACAGGCGTTGTTGACACGAACTAGAGCCAGCCAACACAACAGCAGCAGGCCTTGGCCTTTAGCCGAAAACAACAATTTCTAATCGACAACTCATGTTCACATTCACTGATAATTAGTATTAACTTTGCTTAAAATACAATTAATTGTTGCAGACGTATTTAAGAAGGGATAAATCTGATTAAAGATAATATTAGAAAGTGAGCTGGAGATCAACTTAAGTAATTACATAGCCATCATTCCATTTCAACTGATAAATGCATAAAACCGCATGTTAAGGGAAGAATTAACTTCGAAACTTCGAAAATAGTATCTTTCTTGTATTTCATAATGGTGTTGGTGAAAATGCAGCCTGAATAATCTTCAATAGAATACTATTACAATGCATCTTTCTGAAACAAAACTACCTCCAAATAAAAAGATGTCAATACAATGTATTGCAAGTATAATAAGTGGTTAAACTATCACCACACCTCACCAATTTGGGTAATCAATGATGGGGTAAAATTCTCAGTAAGTGACAACTAATTTTGGTCAAGTCTCTCCGACAATATCACCCGGACCGATGTCAAATAATTGGTCTAAGCTATCTTATAGACAGATGCATGCTTCATGAAAATAACTACATATTGTCATCAGCTGAGCTTTGTCCTGGTTAAAGTCATATATAAGAAGAAGCCGAACATGGAATAATTATTAGGTAGTGACTGAGGGCAGTAAACATTGCTTGGAATCTGAAAGAATGCAAGCTTTTGTTTTAATTGAGAATTTGCCAAGGATGCCTGAAATCCCTGCTGACCAAGATCTGTTCCAACATGATAAGACCAACTCATCATTCGCTCCATAATCATCTCCTTCTCATCAAACGCTGTAATGTGGGAAGATGTACAAAATGTGGTGGAATGCCTTACAGATCAAAATAAGAATGGAAGAAACATTCAATTTCTTTTGACATTACTTGTACAAGAGAGAAAAAAGAAATAATAACTGAATAATGCGTCTAATCATCCATGGTCATCAGAGTCATGTTTTTATTTTTTTCTTTTTTTCCTTTTTTCGTTAGAGTTTGCATTCAGGTGAGAGTTAAGAATATCGGATTTATTTAAAGTCTGATCCTTTGATATTTTGTAGGATCTATAATCATAAAATATCATTAATACTGTATAAATGTGCAAATTCTTCATTTTGTCTTAATATAATTATTATTAACACATCTGAAGCACAAGGTACCAAAGGATTAAAATCTGTGTTAATTTACTTTTCAATCGAATCTCTTTATGATACAAAAAGAATGCCTAGAATTGAATGGATAAAGCAAAACTGTAGATATTTATTTTAAAGTCCTCTTATAATGGAAAAATGTAATTTGGATAAGAAAAAACCATACCAAACTTCCGCAAGAGCATGTCCTAAACCTTTGCCATGTGTGTCTCAGCCAGTGAAGAATTAAGGTCTTCTCGAGATTGTGATCTCCTACTTTGAAGACGCATCTGACTTCTGTGAGGGGACCAGAAGGATCCCATGCTACTACTGTCAAATTGCATCTGCCCCAAGCTATTTGAAGAATAACTATGTGAAACACCACTAGTTGATGGGTACAAGGAAGACTCCATGAGCTCAATGGTGCTGCCACCAAGACCATGTCCCAAGCCAAATGCTCTTTGCTGGGAACTTGCAACTGTCGGACTCAGAGGCATCTTAACTCTGCCATCCCCTATAAAACCACAGTTGATAATGCCTTAGTAGATTGAACAAACAAAATAAGAACCAACAAGATAAAAAATCCAAACCAATAGAATAAGACTTCCTAACTAACTGGAAAGGAAAATGGTTTTAGAGAAAGAATGAGATTCACATAAGCAATGAAAGCATAGTTTTAATGATTTGGATCATGCAACATGGATTAAAAAACTAAGTCAGTAGGTAAGGTAGAAAAGAGGGACAAAACATACTCCAACAAACTGATTTAATATATAGATGAAACAGAAACAAAATACTAAATTAAAATGTAATATGGCTGTCAAAGCCTGTCGAATCACTCCAGCCTACTGCATATTGTAACTTTTCTATTGTAAAATGACATAATTCAAAGCTACTATAGAAGCTTCAACTTTTTTCAATTATATTCCAGTTCTAAAACATTAAAGTAGAAAATGCTTAATGATCAAATAAACACGATAATCATACTTTTTTATATTTTATTTAGTAAGCAGAGATCTTTATTTTAGAGTTTTAGGCTGGTGTTTTTGAGTTTTCAGTGTTTTCTAACATCTAACCACAATAATTTTGGTTTTTGTTTCAAGAATTCGTTGAATCTTGAACATCTCAATTCAACGATATTCCCACATTCAGATGACCGGATCTACCAAATGATCCCAGATAGAATCCCAATTTTAACAACCTTGATTGAATGAAAAAGATTTCCAGAGAGACTAATAAAACACTTTTAGACTTAGGAGAGACTTCTCCCTCTAACAGAAACAGATCAACAACAGAGAATAATAATAATATATAACCAGTAATTTCAAAACATGTAGCACAGTTTTACCGATATAAATGTCCACTAAAATCGTAGAAAAGCTTACCGGAGTTCATAGGACTCCAACGCTGGAACCGGAAAGGAGATGGAATATTGAGAACAGACGTAGTGGCTGTGCCATTATGCCTGAATAATGGGAGATATGTCCTCCGGAAAAATCTTGGCATCCAATTGTTGACACATGATAATGCACAAACCAGCAAAATCAGTGAAACTGAAACAACAGCAACGAGAATAATTGGATTTATCTTCATTTGGAGTATGTCATAACTGTGAATTCTCAATCTAGTAGAAAATGTCTTCCCAGCTTCCAACAGAGCAACCCCAAGGGTCCAAGTAATACTTCCAGAACCAACAATGATATGATCATCAGTGATGTGCAAACCCTCTCTTAATAATGAAACAACATATGGTGACCTAAAACAATACTGTTCAATAAAGGGCTGGGGAGGAACACTGTTTCTGGCAAGTTCCCAAGTTTTTTGACAGAACTCCCGACCCTTTTCCAGCACATCATCAAGTGCAGATTCAGAAGTCAAATTAAAAAACCGATACACAACAAAAAAGCCAGATATAGCATATAACTGGCCATTAGGGCGAGGCAAACCATCAATAAGAGCACAAGGTTGCAAATCACAATCCATTGCTGGGCTAAGATTCGACCATTCAGACAAATTAACAGCAATTTTTGCAAGTGCACTGCATTCTTCCCAGTTTGGAGCTCCAGTTAATAAAACAGAAATGCCTGACTTTCCTCCCTTACCCAAATTTTTCTCTCCAACTACAGGGTTTCCACTCTCTTGTTGATTGGAAACACAGCGAGAGCAGATGTATCGCTCCTTGTACCCAGACTGCAAGCAAGGGTGCTTAACTTCTATTTTACCATTAACTAAATCTCCATTTTTTATGTCCGGAATTCTTTTTACAAGTTTAGCTACAGACTTGTCAAATGCATCATTTAGACCATAGCCAGAAAGAGAGTAAGCACTGAGATGATGATTAACCGCACCAATCCTAAGGTTTAAGTTAGTCTCGTTATGCACTTGCTTCTCACTTTCAAATGTAACCTGCAATGACGACCCACCCAAGTCAAGTGCACCAAAAGTTGCCTTTTTGGGTATGGCCCCCAACATACCAGTGCGATAGTTCAAGGCTGTCCATCCGTAGTAAGCTTCTTCTGTGCCACTAATAATCTTAATCCATTCTCTCCGACGCAAGAAAGGTGAACTTTTTACTATGGACCAAGCATTCTCTAGTAGCCACTTAGAATCAGCTTTAGGCAGCCTCCGAACCCCAGCTGTTGCGTAGATGAAGAGAGAGGTAGTCTCATGTGCATGCTCAGGGATTTGTTTCTCTGCCCACTGTAAAAGTGGCTTTATAGCAGCCTTCAATCCAGATTTATTGTGCACCAACTTATCAAAACCCGGCTCAGTCTCCATTCGATCATAAGCACGCCCACTCTGTGAGCTAGGTTTCCTAGAAAGACCTTCTGTTAATGATTTCATGAAGATAGGGAAAGTGCCACCTTTATTGTGATCAATGGATGCCTCATAAACATAAGCTCGAGTTCCAGTACTTCCACAATCAAGCACAACATAGAATTTGGACCCTCCCTGATACAAATTAGAATAAATATACATTGAAACCATATACACTAAAAAAGCCAACAACAATAGGCTCAGTAAGATTAAGAACACTCGGACCCACTTCCTACGCATAAATGGAGTTCCACCAGACAATGCTTTCTCCTTCGAAAAACTTGAACTAAAATTTTCTCTTTGTAAGGAATTAAGTTGTTTTGAATACCTATCAATTCCAACACGAGGATCACCCTCCTCTGGATCAAGTCGACGATATGCTGAAAAATCTTGGAGCGACGATGAGAGTCGCAAATTATTCTTATTTCCAGGGTTAGAAAGGTCAAACCTATGAGCAGAACCGGTTTCGGGGGGCAATCCAGGCGACATATAAGGAACTGTAGAAGACTGTGCTGCCGAAATACGACCTGATGCAACAGAGATCAATTCTGCTAGTTTACTAAACACCATAACTTGCAGCAGAATTTGCTAATTTCGATAATTTAACATCCCACACTAATGTTAGTGTTGAAAAAACGAAATAGCTTAAGTGCCTCCTTTCAACATAGTATTCATAAAGGAAGGAACCAACACAAGTTAAAACGAAGTTTGCATAATGATTGGAATTGTGGGTAGAGAGCTGGTATCAAATATCAATTTAGAAATCCTGCAAGTAAAGATTTCACGACGAAATCTAATAAGTCCAACTACTGAGAAAACCGCAAGTAATATGAAATTAGGATCTTAAATTAACGAAAAAAAAAAAAAAGATTTTGGAAGATGGGTTGTGTTAGTTTTGAAGAGGTGAATAAAAAAAACAAGGGGAAGGACATTGTGATCTTGAGTTGAGATATATAATATACGTAAAAGGAGTAATACTAAAAATCCAAGAAAGAAGTTAGGGTTGAGAAAAGGAACACTTACAGTAAAAAAAGTGGGTGGGTGATCTATAAGTCCCTGAGATTTGTTAACAATCAGATCCAAACTAAAATGTGTGAATTGAGTCTGAGTCGACACAGGGACAGGGACAGGGACAGGGACAGACTCTTTTTACTAACAACTCACCCCCCGTTTTCCTTGTTTGTGAAATTCCTAATTCCTATATAATACTTATTATTATTGCCAATTGACCCGACCCATCACATCCCCATTTATATCGGGTTTGGGTTTATACTATTTGATTTTAAGCGATTTGCTCTTCAAACCATTGAATCCGTCCATTGAACTTTTATTATCTTTAGACCATGGATTTGATTAATCCAAAAATGTTACGTTTCCATTAAGAGAAAATATTACATACCATAATAACGTTTTACTTTTTAAAAATGAATCATAAGATTACCTTCCCAAATAGAGAGAAAATATTACATACCATAATAACGTTTTACTTTTAAAAATGAATCATAAGATTACCTTCCAAAATAGATAAGTACGATTCTCCCACAATGTCTACCCCTCCCTTTAATTTAGGCAACTTTTCTCCGTTCTAATATGATAGTTAAATGGACTTGTATGAGGCCAGTAGAGCAAAACTGTAGCCATGTGAAGAACAAAAATCCATCACAGGATGGCTTTATGAAGACGAGAAGGATGAATGTGACATAAGTAATCGCTGGAATATCCAAAGGAAAGGGAGACTGGAAAACTGTCCTTCCAAGAACTGCTATATTGTTCCAACAATATCAATAGTAACTGTCATCTATGACAATTAACTTTACATCAAATCTCATCATAGTTTTTGTCTAGTCTCTTGATTTTGGAGATAAAACATGTCCTCTCTGATGAGGAATCTTGTTACTTGATGCGTCTTTGTGAATGAGCGGTTCAGAAGGCCGACTAACATGAGCAATGAGCCCCTGAGCTGCTTGTTTTTCTATATAGGATGCCCAGGTGACCAAATACAGACCCGCAATAATTAGACATCCCCCTAAAACACTGTGTCCACAAGTCAAAAATACCAAGTAAGATCACACCATCTTTGATGATATCAACTCAAGGAAACAACACTTTCGCTTTCCATTGGATACATACAAAGAATATCAATGATCCGCAAACAAGTAAAATTGCACAAAATTGTTAGTAGTAGAAGTATTACCTTCCCAAATAAATAGGGCTTCCAAGGAAAATTCTTGACAGGAAGGCAGATGCTGCAGGTTGAAGTGGATTGTACAATGCAACCAAAGCTGGCCCCAAGATCTTATTGGACCATGTCAAGAGTCCATAATTGATAGCAGATGCAACAATTCCCTGAGAAAGCATGGAGCATTTTTCTTAACTATTCTTTTTTAAGACAAAAGCACAAGGTTCCCTTTACAATAGTTTCAAAGGTTATTCCAAGCCACCAAAATTTATGGAAAAACAAAGATCTGAAGAAATTTATGATTTCACTGATTAAGATGCTGTCAGCAATCTCTTGATTGAACAATTGGCAGGCCAAATTCAAGGGTGGATTCTTAAACCTTTATGATTGGAGAATAAATTAACACGACTGAAGGAACTTATCACTTCTAAATTAGCTGTTTCTGCTTCACTAAAGACAAAATTTAAGCCAAACAACGAAAATCCACCTGCAGCACTTATGATTAAGAAGCTGCATTATTTATGACTCTATAAACGCAAGTAACATGCAAAAAAACAAATAGGTACTCCTCAATAGAAAAAAAGAAGACAGATCATAGCTTTGCCTTGCATATAATAGAGATAGATCATTGCAATGTCATCACTATTTCATGAAGTGAGTTAGGCATTCCTCTCCTACTAACACAATCATCACCCCACTGATTCCTTCCAGTAAAACAACTAGCATTGTTATACATATACCCTGAAGATTAACAGTTACAACAAAACAACTTCTCATGAAATTATAACTAATAAAAAAGAGACAAAACTGACTAGCACTAAGTTAAGAAACAAGGTAAATGTAACTTCAATCCGAAACTTACCGCATAGATGACTGCAAACAGCTCAGACTGTGTCAAACTCCAGTCTGTTGATTCATTGGTCATAAAGAACGCTGTTATTACCATCAAAGCAGCACCAAAAACATATGAATATGCTGTGACAGACAGGCTGGCTGGATATTTCTTTAAAAGTGGTGCCTGAAATTTTTTCATAACAATAAATTGATCAGAAGAATATAATCTACAAGGAGATAGACCATTAAATCTAAAGTAATAAATTCAAAGTTAAGCTCCATGAAATACATAAGGCGATCAGCTTCTGTAATTACCTATTGAAACTTTTCATCAACAATCTCACCATATGTTTCTCATGATTTATTGGTTATCAGAAAGCTAAATCTAGTAATCATGTTAACCCTCAAGCAGAAGGGATCAGACTTTCTACATGCAACAAAAACGGCCTTAAATCTATTAAGGTTCTTAGATCAATTCCGATAAACTCTTAGTTTAACTAGGCTATCAACACAATCCCATACATAGAATACTGCTGTATAACAAAGGAGATATCCCAATACTTTTCTTTCTTGAACACTCTTAAACTTAAAAATCTGATGTCCAACCAAAACTCAATATATCATTAAGTCTTGCAAAGTTGGTGCTACATACCAATCAAAATTCCCTACATGCTTTAAAAGTTACTCTCCCCAATTAGTTTTGTCTAGGTAAGTTTAATATTCACTAAAAGCTCGCCATTCAAACCATCATCAAATTCTTGGAATGGTGTAACACATACATTGAATCCCCCAACATGGAGATGCTCTTTTATGATCAATCAGCTCCATATTCTGAATCCTTTCATATGCCATACATGAACTCTTACATAACTTACAACATGGTATGCAAAAAACAGATGGAAAAGTTTCATGAACATAAGCTAAGTTCTCATGTAGATAATGCTAAAGTGAGGCAATTACACGATTGTAAATAAGATACTAGACACATTTAGAAAAGTGAAAAATGCACAAAGAGCATCATCTAAGACTCTTAATGATAAAAATAATGCTCATCTCACTTATGTTTTTTGATTCAGCAATGAAGTCTCAATTGTAAAAATTAACTATACAATCCAGTACCTGAATGGCTAGAAAAGCAGCCATGCATATGCAATTCCCTATTAAGCATAAAACTCCAAGGTGCCACTGATCAAATCCAATCACCAGAAAACTGGACATGAACCATCCAGCAGGCTCTGGTTGACCCCTTGCACTTATTTCACTGTGCACTACAAATTCTTGGTTCTTATTTCCAAACAAAGCTGGACCACGGAATAGAACCATTAATATAGCACCAGAAACACAGACAAGGGTACCGCCAACCTTTGCTTGACCTTCGGTTTTGAGCAAATTTACTCTTTCTGTACTGCATGAACAAGTTCATACATATTATTGAACAAGCAACACCAACACTCTGCATACATGCATATAAACAGATAACAAGGGCACAAAATCAATTAAATTCAGGATAAGGTAGAAATTTGTCACTCACCCCATCATCACAGCAAAGAGAAACGTGAACACAGGAATTGCAGGTTGTGTGGCAGCAGCATAAGTTGGATTGGTGTAACTAAGACCAATAAGAAACAAAAGCTGGTTCCCAAATATCCTGATCAAAGATATAAATTAGCAACAGAACCAGATAGATCAGCCATGACCAGTCCAACAAGAATGAGTTTTACAAAATAGAGCTTACCCTGTTAACCCAAGAAAGAAGAATGACAAGAGGAAGCGTCTAGTCATAGGTTGACGGATTCTTCTATAAAGAGAAAAAAGAAAGAAACATTTCAAGTTAATGAGTTTATATATCATAAAGCATAACATATTAGTTGAAATAAAGTTGCAACCTTGAAGTATCTATTTGTACAACTAAACCTAAAGAAGGATATGTTAGGATACAGGCTTGAACAAGAAATAAGATGCTCATTGTACACAGTTCCAGGCTCTAAATCCGTTCTAATTTTCTAAGTCAGACATATTTAAGCATGGAACCACAAAATACATCTAGTAAACCACTTATCACCTAAAATGAGTAAAATATGATCATAAGTTGAGATAACGAAAGTTGAACCTTCACAAACAATCGAAGCCATAATATGGCATATGGGTATCAAAATTTAAAAACTGATCTATATTGGAATATGGATGCAACCAAAAAGATAAGATTTAGCAGGCAATGAATGTAATGAACTAGCACTATGATTGTTCGGTACTCAAAAGAATAGGAATCATAGTTAGCAATCGAAATTCAGACAATGATAATTGTACGTCAAACTAGGAAAAAAAATCGAAAATTGAAGACAAAAGGATGTAAGATATAGTTAGAACAATGCATGAAGATAAAAAAAAAAAAAAAAAGGAGAAGAAAAAGGAAAATACTTTTCACGAAAATAGGCAACGGGAGCAAGAATAGAGAGAGCAAGAAGATCACGATAAACACAAAAGACGAGCTGGTTGACTCCAACATTGAGGGCTACTTTGGTAATTACATGATAACCTCCGTAGAACAACTGAACCAAAGCCATGGCGCCATGTGCTCTCCATGTATCTTTGTCAGTTGAGGGAATTACAGTAGCAGTAGCAGCCATGGAATCTTGTTCCTGAGAAACGAAGAGAGAAGGGTTTCGTTTGGTGGGCAATAGTTGGTTGGTGAATTCGTATTGTGTCAAAAATAAGATATTATCAGCATCATAATGATCATTTGTGTGGGTTGTGCGCTTCATTTACAAGGGAACAAAGTTTTTTAAGGTAATATAGATTAAATATAATGCTGGCTTTGATCCTGATTTTGATATTTTTGTTGTTTTCTTCTGTTTCTCTCCTAAATGGGTCCCTGTTCTGTTCTGCACCGTCCCCGTCTCAGTTCATTTCTACATCAAGTATCGATTGGTAGATTGACAAATAAATTCGATTAAATTAATTAATAATTTCCCTAATTAAATTACTAATCAAAGCAAATTATTGTTAATCCTTCATCATTTTTGTTGTTGGCTTCGCGAATACAATGGGAATGTCAATTTAACTGTCTGTTTTCTAACACAAAACTGAAACAATGTTGGACGAGATGTGCATCAAAAACTGAAAATGAAATTCAAATCTCATATTTGTTTGTTCAATCACTCACGAAACAAAATACACAATTTCCTCTTTCATTGCACTTCACTTTAAAAGCAATTCATCTACGACTACATGCTATCAATGAATGTGTAAAGATGAAACAAACGAATACAACACATTTATATCCATTTAAAAAAGAAATGGTATTTTGTCGCTCCAAAAACAAATATTACAACTTTATATTCCTAAAATGGTCCTTATTTGAGGTGGAGGATGCCTTGCTAGTGACTTTGGATCTGGGTATCCATTCTCGGGAGCCATAATTGCCCTGTAAATTAGTTCATAAGCTTCGGCCAGTGACCTAGCCACCTTGATACAGGCTTCAGAACGCAATTTTGGAACCTGCATCAGCTCAAATTCAGGCAGAGAACTCTCGCTTCCCAAAATAAGCCCAAAGAAAGCCTTTAAACACTCCGAAAGAGATGCTGGAGAAGTGTCTTCTATCTCTGCCAATGGGGGCCCTGCTACTGTACTGCTGAACTCCTTGTTAAGAGAACCATGGAAGTGATGCATTTTCTGTGATAAGCCACATCTTCTTAAAATGGCATCAACTTCTTTATCCACAAGAACACGCATATGATTTTCAATCATTGATCCTAGGTTCTTCACATACTCGGCTGCAACCTCATGACCAAGTAATGGTTGTTGGATGGCACATAAGCAGTTGATAAGGAATATTTTGGAGGGAGTCTCATTATTCTGCATAAATTATCAAGGAGATTAGGATGCAAAATTATTCAGAAAATTTGCACAAAAATTACTGTTGTACATCAAGTTATTTCAGTTTACACAAAACATAAATTGCGATGCAGTCCTAATAATCAAAATATTGATTAGATTAGCTAAATATTGGTCCACTGCATCAGAAAATAGAAACCTTTTCTTGACTTCATTAGAGCATAATAAAAGGACCATTGCTTTCTTCCTAGACAAGATTTCTGCATATAATAACTTAAAATGTTTGTATTGGACATATCTACCAAAAAATGAACTGAGAAATAAATAACAATATGATCCAATTGGCACATAAATAAAGTTTTAAGTCTGACAAGCAAAAACATTAAGAGTAACCAGGGGAGCAGACGAGGAAACCTGCGTGGACAAGGTGGAGCTGCTATTGGACAAGATTGCATCAACCGAGGATTTACTAATTTGGCCCGAGTCAGAACTCATTCTACTTCTTCTTGATGAATGCCCAGCTCCCTTGGATTTGTGTGCCTCTGCTGCTTGTTCACACATCTATAACAATTGAAAGTAATGACTTTTATCTCATTAGTTAAATTTAAGAAACATGAAACTATTGCCATCCTTAACATAATGCACATTAGTATGGTTTAAAACCTGAATCAAGTTTGACATAGACTTGAATAATTAACCTGAAGTTTATCTAGAGCTTAAATATAAAAGGCTTGGAAAAATAACTTCTTCCCCAAATTCTATATGCAACATTTGGTTACACGACAAAAACCACAAGAAGAAGTAATCCCACAATATATAGTGCACTTTAAATTACTAAAATCAAACACAAACACACCTGGATGATAGGATCAAGTAAAGCAGATATCACCAGATCAAAATCAGGTTTTTTCGCAGAAGTGGGAACCATCATACTGTTATGGGTTTCAATTATCTCTAGCAGTATAGAGACTCCTTCCCTCACAGCTGGTGGTGGAGAAAGATCAACAGCTACAAGGGGTGGATACCGCAAAAGCTTTTCTCCTCGGCTTTTCAATATGTCAAAAAATGTTTTTTGGGTAGCATCCTTGAGCACCCAGAGTGTATTACAGAGAGCAGTCTCTCTCCCAAGTAAATCTGATATCTACACAACAAAGCAAAAGGTTAAATGTGAGACAGCATACAAAACAACTAGAAATACAAAAGAGGGATAGAGCTCAACTCACAGTGTAGCTATAAAACTCCAAGGTATTAAAGAGTTTATAAGAAATTATAAGACTAGGTTGTGACTGCAAAACTTGTTCAACTCTCACTTTAAATGGCCGGCAAACTCCTTCAAAAATTCTATCCAGAACAAATGTCAGGTCTGAATCAGTCTTTCCAGAATCATTCTCCAGGTTCTTAGAGAATCGGCTAGCAGTCACTCCAATATCTACTGTCGCATCTGGATCAAGTAACCCAAGGACAAGCTCCCGTTCAGATGCCAGTGCCTACATTGAAAGCAATAGAAATAATCAAAAATTTAATTTAATGTCGAAAAGATTTCAGCAAGATCAGAATACGAGATATAAAATACAACTAAAAGAGGTTTCTGTGAGCCACCTGATGTAACCACCCTAGCATGTCTCCTACATAACGTAAGGGATCATGAGCATGCACTTCAATCGGTCTTGGCAGTCCACCAGGTCCTCCGCGTGTAAGAGCACTTATAAATCTTCTAAATAATGCATTATGCCTCATATTTGCTACCTGTACAGGCAGTGAAGCGATACTCTTAAGACAAACTCCTATAAAGAACTACCAAGCATGTACCATGCTTCAGATATGTATCATTAAGCCTTAGGTTAGAATAGAATCACCTCTTCTGCACAATACTTGAAAAGGACAGGCCTTTCCTTGAGGCAGCAAACTGCTGTTTTCAAAAGCTCACCAACTTCAGGATTCTCAGTGTCACCCAACTTCCTACACTCTGCCTGAACCCACCTAGAAGAAAGGAATAAGATATATATTATCTAAACTGTTCAAGCACCATCCAAGTAACAAAATTCTGAATTAAAAAACACTGAGTTAAAGAGATGAACAGTTTTTTTTCTTTTCTCTCCAAAAGATAGAATCTATTAAAAGTTTATGAATAGTGTACAACAATAAGCTATCTACAGAGCTTTGTAAAAGACAGTATAAAAATATTTATGAATCATGCACAGAACTACTTGCATGATAATAAATTCCTCTATTTCGCTAAATAAAATCTACTGGCATCAATAAAGCATGAAACCAAAAATTTTTATAAAAGATCACAGTGTGCTTATTAGGATAGTACATAAACCAAATTTTTAAAGCCAATGGAAAAAACGATGTTACTTTATTCACCAAAGAAACTTCTCTAATAATCACATAGGCCTCACCTGCACAGGCGCTCATAGGCACCTTCTTGGTACACAGCCATCATATCCATCAGCTCCAAACCTGCACGCTGTGAGGACTCCTCAAGTGAATGATAATTCTTCTCATTTATTCAACAACCAGGAATTTAAATGGTGAAGACATGAAAGCACAGAGCAAATAACATAACTGTAAATACAACCAACATAACATATATACAAGCAGACAAGTACTTAATATTTCAACAACCAAGAATCTTAACAATTCCCATAAAAAATTATCAAGGTCAAGACTGGTTCTTCCAAGAAAAGAAGCATCCAAAGTAACATCATCTCAGACTCCAAGAGGGGTATATCATCATCAACCATCTAAAGCAAGGGAACTATTCAAACCACAGCATCTTTAGTTGTGTAACAGCAATATTGTAGAAATCTTTCGCATCACTACTCTCAGTATCTAATTCTTCAAGTTTTCAAAATCAAACAAACATCTTATAAAAATCTAGTCAAATCTCAAACCAAAGATCTCTTTTCTACACATCTAACTTCTAATATTGCTTAGGGGTTATGCATGATTGTTTTCTATTTCTATTTTCTATATTGCAAATCCAAAAACACATTAAAAATGCATTTGGTCTGGTAATTGTAAATGGGAGTTGAAAATTATAAATTAATTCTCAAAAAATTAGTGCTGAATTCGAAATTACTAAACAGTTTTAGTATTTGAAAAAAAAAAATTGAAAAAGAAATTTCTACATAATCAAATGGATTTCACTATTTTTTGTTTCAGAAAACTACTTTTAAAACACAGTACTGAACAAATTCTAAATTTTCAAAACACAAAATTCTATTTATCATTTTTAGTTACAGAACAGTTTTGCAACACTATACTGCACAGACCCTTACTTTACAAACATTTCCTACGTAGGAAAGAGAAAGACTTGGAGATTTTACCTGATGATGAGTCCTAAGCAGTACTTTGCAGTTAGCATGAATTTCTTGAACATGAGAAAGTGCCTTGAAGAAATTTTCATTTAAGTCCTCATCCCTCAGTGCATTTATCTACAGACGAATATGAATACAGTAACTTGAGTTGAATTTGGACCATAATGGAACAAAAGCATATATTAATTCAAAACTAAAGGCTTAAACTCAAACCTCTTCATCAGAGAGCTGATAATCACGAAGAAAGCAAGAAACAATCTCTTGTCTTTGTGTATTAACTTCAAGATCTCGTTTGAGTCTCTCCGTGGTTTCAATGATATTCCCGGTGGTAGCATTACAACTATTCAAAGCCTTTTCAATCCTGCCAAGTACAAGATTCATTAAATATCATTGTTGCTGTACAATAATTCAAGATGAACATGGAATAATATTATAGGATCAATATTTCGTAAATATGTAAGAATGCATGACAGCAATTAACACAAAAAGTGCCAGGATTGTCCTAAGTATTTCCAATTTCTTAGAATTCTCCCTATTCCCCCTCTATTCTCACTGGGTGTGTTTCTTTTTGTTAGATTTTCTTTCATTTCCTCACCAAACAAACACTCCTAATTGGTAAAATATACAATAGATCTTCATATCCTTTAATTAG